TTGTGTCATATTGGGATTTTTGATACTTATTCATTTCTTGCCAGATTCATATTCCATTGATTTTGCCTCCTGCCTCTATTTATCTTGCATTTTTGTATAAGATAGAAAATGTCAAGGTTCAAATTCTTTGGACTTAGGAGATCACGAGTGAGCCCTGCTGTTTCATTCCCCTGGTGCAGGAAGTCCTGCCAGTGGCCCTGCTCGGAACTAGCACTGTGGTACTGTCTCTTCTAATGGTCCCACTCTGTTTTATGAATCATACATACATTGTCAGTCACAGTAATTCATGTATTTTCAGCATCATTACCTGACTACCTTTATCATATTTTTAAAAAAAGATTTTAAAAGATTTCCAGTGGGTGGAAGAGCTTGCTCTCTCTCCTCCCTCTACCTTTGAAATTAAATCATTAAAAAAATATTTTATTTATTGTAAAGTCAGACTTACAGAATGTGTGAGAGGGACAGGGAGAGAGAGAGAGATTGATTCATCTTTCATCTGCTGGTTCACTCCCCAGATAGCAGCAACAGGCTAATGTCAGAAGCCTGGAGCTCAACTCCATCTGGGAAGGCAGGTGGTGCAGGGGCCATCCTCCACATTAGCAGGGAGCTGACTTGGAAGTAAAGCAGCTGGGATATGAATCAGTGTCCATATGGGATGCTGGTGTCACAGGTGGTGCTGGGGGGAGAGGTGACCTGGTGTAGTTGTTCCAGTTGCTTCATAGAAAAGGGTAAGAGCAGTACAGACATCCATTCTGGAACGTCCATAAGGAAGCATATTAATATATAGATTATTTCCCCATTATTATGTAATTGATTTTTATCTATTTCGATAGTCTTGTTTCTCTAAGCAGAAAATAAATTTTCTGATATAGAACATGTAAAATTAAATATAACACAAAATTTATTATCATTCCATCAGAGTATAACTCAAGTATTTTCTCAATCAAAGGAGTGACAGGAGATCCCCGCCTGCGTCAGGCTCTCAGTCCCACTTCCTTATGGGTGCACCCCACCCTCCTCCCCTTCACTGCCCCCTCATACGCGCCAAGAAGGTCATGGGAACCACTTCAACTTTCTGGAAAGTTTTTTTCTTCATTCATTTGAAAGGTGGAATTATAGAGAAAAAGAGACATCTTCCATTCACTCTCAGATGGCAGCCGGGGTCTGGCACTCCAGCCGAGCCTCCACTGTGGATGACAGGCTCAAGCACTTGGGCCGTGTTTGGCCACTTTCCATGGTGCATTAGCAGGGAGCAGAATCTAGAGTGGAGTTGCTGGGACTTGAACTAACACTCATATGAGATGATGGCAGCCCTAGGAACCACTTGAAAAGAGCCCGTGATACCAAAGGAGAAGTCTCCCTGACGCCCCCTGCGTCAATAGAACACATCTACTAATCCTGGTCCTGAGAAAGCTCAGTGTGCAGGTCAAGGCTATAAACCTTAGGTAGGGGGAGATGGGCAGCCTGGGAGGCACATGCATGCCCATCCTGCCTGTTCCCTAATCCATTTCAGAGAGGGCACTACTGACGTGGGAGCAGAGGGCATGAGCTAGAGAGCCAGGTGCAGAAACACCTCCTGGGCTTCCATCATTTGTTGGGCTGCTCAAGAAGTGGTTAGGACGAAACCCACCACCCGCTGATGTCAGAACTCTGATGTGAGAGCTTGGAAAGTGGAGATGATCACATCAACTTCCGAACTTCTTCCTTGTGTATAATTCATCTTGTTTCACTTACTTTTTTTTTTTAAAGATTTATTTTATTTTTATTGGAAAGGCGCATATACAGAGAGGAGAGACAGAGAGGAAGATCTTCCGTCTGATGATTCACTCCCCAAGTGAGCGCAACGGCCAATGCTATGCCGATCCGAAGCCAGGAGCCTCTTCTGGGTCTCCCACACGGGTGCAGGGTCCCAAAGCTTTGGGCCGTCCTCGACTGCCTTCCTGGGCCACAGGCAGGGAGCTGGATGGGAAGCGGGGCTGCCGGGATTAGAACCTGCGCCCATATGGGATCCTGGGCATGCAAGGCGAGGACCTTAACCACTGGGCCATCGCGCTGGGCCCAGTTTCACTTACTTTTTAAAGATTTATTTTACTGGAAAGCCAGAGCTACAGAGAGAGAGGGAAGAGATGGGGTTGGGGGAAGGAGAGAGATATCTTCCACTCTTTGGTTCATTTCCCAGTTGGCTGCAACAGCCAGAGCTGGGCTGGTCCAAAGCTGGGATCCAGGAGCTTCTTCCAGGTCTCCCACAAGGGTAAAGGAACTCAAGGACTTGGGCCATCTCTCTCTGCTTTCCCAGGCTGTTAACTGAGTTGGATTGGAAGAGAAGGAGCTGAGACCCCAACCTGTGCCCATATGGGATGCCGACACCATAGTCGGATGATTAGCCTGATATGCCACTACTCATTAAAAAAGAAAAAAAAAAAAAAGCAGAGGAGCCAGTGTGTGTAGCAGCTTAAGCAGCTGCCTGCAATACCAGCATCTTATAGAAGTACCCATTCGAGTCCCGGTTGCTCCACTTCTGATCAAACTCCCTGGTAATACACCTGGGAAAGCAGCAGAAGGTGGCCCAAGTACTTGGGCCCCTGTCACCCACATGGGAGTGGATGGAGTTCTAGGCTGCTGACTTGGCCTGTCCCGGCCTTGGCCGTTGTGGCCATTTGGGAAGGGTAAGCCTGCACTGAGTACAGGATCTCCCTCTCCCTCTCTCTCTGTAACTCTGCCTTTCAAATAAATAAATCATTCTAATAAAAACAAACAGTCCTACAATGGAAAAGTGTTTAACAAAGCTTAGTTGAAAATGAAAATGAAAAGAAGCTGGGTTCATGAGGGAAAAGAGCAGAAGGGAGAAAGTGATCGGGCTAAAGTGAAGGTGATCTTGTCAGCTCAGGCTAACCTCCCTCCTGTCCCATGATTAATTCTGGACCATGAAGCAGAGAAGCGTTGAGATGGGTGGATGGGGCATTTGGGGTTGGGGCTTGGGGCAGGCTGGTGTCCCAAAGCCTCCTGCTCAGGCTGGAGCGCGGGACTGCTGGAGTAGCAGGTGAGGCTGTGCTGCCGGCCGTGGCCAGCAGATGGCAGCATGCCTCCAAAGTTCCAGGGCTAGGTGGGGTGCTGGCCGCTTGCCCTCGAAGGCCCTTATTTGGTTGGCACAATTGAAAGCGGAAGTGTTTCTTTTTGAAGCCAGGGAGGCCAATCTGCTTAGCTGGCCCTCTACGGGGTGGGACAGCAGGTACCTGCTCAGAGCCCAGTGGGAGGGGCAGAGGCCTGCGGAAGCTGGGGGCGGAGCCTGGGGTTCTGTTCTCTGTTCAGCTCCACAGCTGAATCGGGAAGCAGCTTAGTGGCTAGGTTTTGCATTGTAATAAGAGTATTTTTTAAAGAATCTTTTTCTTTTAATTTTACTTGCTTATTTATTTGAGAGGCAGTTGCAGTGAGAGAGATTGCCTGTCCAGTGATTGACTGCCCAAGCGGCTGCAATGGCCAGGACTGAGCAGGGCTGCAGCGGGAAGTCAGGAGATTCTTCTGAGTCTCCCACACCAGTGCAGGCTCCTTCTGCCCTGCTTTCCCAGGCACATTAACAACATGTTGGCTGGGAAGTGGAGCAGCCATGACCTAAACCATATGCCCATACAGAATATTGGCTCTACAGATGGTGGTTTGACCCACTGTACTGCACAGGCCCTAAGAATATTTTTACAATGAGAAATATCAGGTTTTGGGGCCAGGACAATGGTTCAGTGAGTAAATCCTCTCTTTGAACACACCAGGATCCCATTATGGGTGCTGGGTCATATCCTGGCTGCTCCACTTCCCTGCTTGTGGCCTGGGAAAGCCTTGGGACCCTGTATCCACAAGGGCCTGAAGAGGCTTCTGACTCCTGGCTTCAGATCGACTCAGTTCTGGCCATTGTGGCCACTTGGGGAGTGAACAAGTAGATGGAAGATCTTTCTCTCTCTCTCTCCTCTCTAAATCTGCCTTTCCAATAAAAGTAAATCATTCTTTTTAAAAAATCAGGCTTTTGTTTAAAAAAGAAAAGAAAAAAACTTGGGGCTGGCACCATGACATCAGCATACCATGTGAGCACCAGTTTGAGTTTCAGCTGCTCTACTTGGGGTCCAGCTCACTGCTACTGTCCCTGGGAAGGCAGCAGAAGATGGTCCAAGTGCTTGGCCCCTGCCACCCAGATGGAGTTCCAGCCCCTTGCTTTGGCTTGGCTCAGGGCCGACCATTGCAACCATTTAGAGAATGAACCAGTAGGTGAAATATCTCTCTCTCTTCTTTCCTTTGTCCTCTCTTTCTCTGTCATTCTGGGTTTCAAATAAATAAATCTTTTTTAAAAAAAAATTATTTTTAATAAGAAAGGCAGATACACAGAGAGGAAGATCTTCCTCTGATGGTTCACTCCCCAAGCAGCTGCAACAGCTGGAGCTGAGCCAATCCGAAGCCAGGAACCTCCTCCGGGTCTCCCATGCCCCAGGTGCAGGGTCCCAAAGTCTTGGGCCGTCCTCGGCTGCTTTCCCAGGCCACAGGCAGGGAGCTGGATGGGAAGTGGAGCTGCCGGGATTACAATTGGCACTCATATGGGATCCTGGGCATTCAAGGTGAGGACCTTAACAGCTCCACTATCACTCTGGGTCCAATTTTTTTTTTTAAGTTCTTAAAATGCCTAAGAGATCTGTGAGGGAGGGCAGACAGGAAGATCTCTCCCATCCACTTGTTTACTTCCTAATTGGTTGCAATAGTCCAGCTGAAGTCAGGAGCGAGGAAACCATGCAGGTGTCCCATGTGGGTGACCGGGGCCCAAGCACCTGGGGCACTATCCTGGTGCATTAGCAGAAAGTTGGATTGGCCTGCCTCACTCACTGCAGACCCTCACAGTGGCTTTGAACTGGGAGCCAGCTGCCTCTCTCTTAGGTGGGTCTCAGGTTTCCCCGATTGCTTCAGCAAGGTCTTCCTGTTGTTCCTGGGTGAGTGTGAGCAGTGCCGTGGTCTGTCTGTTACAGGTGAAGAAGGCATATCGGCAAAAGGCCCTCTCCTGCCACCCAGACAAAAATCCCAACAATCCTAAAGCAGGTGAGACTCTCCTAAGGCCCTGGGGAAACAGAGACTTACTCACCTGGGGGCTTCCTTTCCAGGTCCACAGGTAGGTGCCCACAGCATAGCTCCGGGCAGGGGGCTCCAGGGCTTCAGTTTGCACGTTTGGGGCTATGTGCTCACCTTTCCCTGCTGGCCAGTCATCTGTTGCTGGCTTTTCTAACATCCTGTTGCTTCTTAGGATTGCCTCTTAAAGCAAAATTGTTTATTTAGTTGAGAAACAGAAAGAGAGAGAGGTCCCAGGTACTGGTTCAATCCCCAAATATCTGCAGTGGCTAGCACTGGGCCAAGCCTAACCCAGGACCCAGAAACCCAGATCCCCCACAGGGAGACCCAGCCAGCTACCTGAGCCATTACCAGGGCTTCCCAGGGTGCATGTCAGCAGGAAGCTGGCTAGGGACCAGAGCTCAGACTTGAGGCTGGGCACTCCCATATAGGATGCTAATGTCCCACTCAGCTCCTCCAGACCCCTGCCCTTGGAGTGGTATTTCGAGGGAGTATACTATCACAAGTATAACCACGATTTTCTCTTTGTATAGCTGAACTCTTCCACCAGCTCTCCCAGGCCTTGGAAGTACTGACCGATGCCGCAGCCAGGGTAAGCGCATCTTTTTTCATCTGAATTGCCCTCTTGGGTAGAGATTGTGCTGCCCATTAGTCTTCACCCCCTACACCTCCTTTGTGGCACAGTCCTGGCCCGCTAAGCCCAGGTCACTGGGCTGCTGCCACAGCAGCCCTGGGCCTAGAAGACAGGGCCAGAGAGATTGCTGGGTTCTGTTCTTCTCTGACTTGCCGCTGTGTGCCCCTCTGTCCTCCAGGCCGCCTATGACAAGGTCAGGACAGCCAGGAAGCGGGAAGCCGAGAGGACCCAGAAGCTTGATGAGAAAAGGAAGCAAATGAAGCTTGGTAGGTGAGCGGGCATCCCAGGTGGCCGCCACCCTCCCCCCTCTTCTGAAGCGCACCTCCAAGACGTAGGGCCAAACTCTGGTCTGAGAGTCTGGATCCTGAAGACACTGTCAGGGATGATAATAATGACCAGATTGACCATTGGCTGTGCCCGTGACAAGAGCTGGATTGACGCCTTTAATTATCACAGCTACCCAAGGGGGTGGGCACAATCATCCTGTCTTTATGGGCAGAGACGCTGGGGCACCGGAAGTCTGAGAACCTGCTAGATAGAGTTGGTATAAACTCCTGGGGTATAGGACTGGTAACATCATTCCCCATGCCAGGTGGGATCTGTTCTTTTCTTTAAAAAAAAAAAATATGTATTTTTATTTGAAAGTCAGAGGAAGGAGAGAATGAGAATTTTCCATGTATTGGTTCACTGTCCAAAAATGGCGTTAGTAACCGGAGCTGCTCTGGCCTGAATCCAGGAACCAGGAGCTTCTTGAGCTTCTTCCAAGTTTCGCACTAGGTGTCAGGGGCCCAACTACTTGGGTCATCTTCTGCTGGGTTTCCAGGCCACATGCTGGGAGCTGGATTGGAAGTGAAACAGCTGAGACTTGAACCAGGTCCATGTGGGATGTGATGCTGCAGGCAGTGGTTTTATGCACTACACCACAGCACTGGCCTCATTTACGCATTTTTCTTCCACTCTTGCTAAATCTGTGTATTTATGTACATGCATGTACCATCCCAATATATCCATTTCTCTAATTAAAAAAAAAAGTTTGAAATAACAGAAAGGAAAGAAGTGAGCCCCAGGCCCGAGAGAAGCAGTCACAGCTAGCACCAGACCTCCCCAGCAAGCTTCCCTGAGAAGGTGTTGGGCTGGGGCTGGGGCTCCAGGCCCTTGGGGGCCACCCTCTTTCCATCTGCCTGTCGCTATAGGAACCCCTGTAGCCAGGCTTGGTGGAGGTGAGTCAGGGGTGAACAGGGAGACATCGAGAACCTGAGCTCAGCAGTGGGAAATGACACAGAGCCAGGGCAAGGCTTCTGCTCCGGCTGCGGTGCCAGTCGGCAGGAGTGGAGGCCAGCAGTTCTTCCCACTGGTATTCCTTACCCACCGCCCCAAACCGCTGACATAAGCACCCTTTTGCACCCTGTCCACTGAGAGGACCTTCCTCTAGCTCTCACTCCCCTCCAAACTCTGCTGGGCTGTCCTTCCTCTGGCCTGGAAGGGGTGAACGTGGGCTCTGAGGGAGGGATGAAATCCGGGTACAGCCTGCTGCACAAGGCTAGGGGAGAATCCAGGGCTGGGCTGCGGCTGGGAAAGCACTGAGCAGGTCAGCAGCTGGTTCCTTCAACCCTTGTGCCTAGACTTGGAGGCCCGGGAGCGGCAGGCACAGGCCCAGCGCGATGAGGAGGAGAACAAGAGCCGTAGCACCAGGACACTCGAGCAAGAGGTGTGCATCCAGGCACCCTGGCACAAGGGCTGTCTGTGGGGTCGGGGTGGCTGGTGTGGCGAGAAGGATCTGCTTTTTTACCTTTCTCAGGGGCTAGGGCATGCTTGGTCCCACCCACACATTGTCCTGGCTTATAGGTGGTGCTTCCCCGGGATCTTTACAGGTGAGAAGCCTGGGCTGAGATCTGCGGGGAAGGGTCACCCTCCCACACTCCCACTCTCTTCCACCCCACTCCCCCACAGATTGAACGCCTCCGAGAAGAAGGCTCCCGGCTGCTAGAAGAGGAGCAGAAGCTGATCCAGGAGCGGCTGCGCCAGGAGCGGGAGCAGAGGCTGAGAGGTGCGAGTGCCCCGCACCCCCATCCAGCCACAGTGGCCATGCTGCTGCTCGGGTGAGCTGCTGGGACCCCAGGAGCCGCCGCAGCTCCTGCAGCACTGCCGTGTGCCCCTACCCTGCCCTTTCTCCCTCTGGCTCCTCAGGGGCCTCTTCTAACTGCCACTCCCACGAGGCACTCCTGGCCCTCCACATGGAGAGTGCTAACAGGTGACCCTCAGGAGATGGCCGGCCACAGCGCCCTGGCGTGGGGTGCACCCCCTTCCCCTCCAGCCTCCTCGTGCTCAGTTCTTCTGGCCCTTCTGTCTCTGGCCTGCCTGTGCTTTGAGAGCTCCCCTCACTCCTGTATTGTTCTACTTTTTCATCTTTCTGCCCATTTCTAGGAAAGGCTGAAGGTGGTGAAGCCCAAGGAACCCCCAAACTGAAGGTGAGCTGGGCAGGACCTGTGGGCCACCCCCTGCTACTTCCAAGGGGCTGCCTTGGAGCCAAACCCTACCTCCGTCCCCCCAGTCCTGAGATGGCAGGACGCGTTATGGATTGGCTGGCCCTGGGTGTTCAGGGGTACAGCTGGGCTTTGGTGGTCCTCCGTAGGTTCCAGGCACTTTGGGCTGCGGAGGGTCTGCTAGTGTTGAGCTGTGGGTTCCTGCTGAGCAGTGTTGTCTTTTCAGCTGAAATGGAAGTGCAAGAAGGAGGACGAGTCCCATGGCGGCTACTCCAGAGACATTCTCCTGCAGCTTTTGCAAAAGGTCTGCCCTGACAACTCCTTCCCTATCCCAGCCTCAGTCTGCAGCGCAGCCCAGCCGACGCCTCCGTCTGCTCCGCCTTTCTTTTTCCTTTTTTTCTTTTCTTTTTTTTCAGGTTTGTTTATTTATTTATTTTTATTGGAAAGTCATATATACAGAGAGTAGGAAAGACAGAGAGGAATATCTTCTGTCTGTTGATTTACTTCCCTAGCTGCCACAATGGCTGGAGCTGAGACAATCCGAAGCCAGGAGCCTGGGGCCTCTTCTGGGCCTCCCATGCTGGTTGGTGTAGGGTCCCAATGCTTTGGGCCGTCCTCGACTGCTTTCCCAAGCCACAAGCAGGGAGCTGGGTGGGAAGCAGGGCTGCCAGGGTTAGAACTGGCACCCATATGGGATCCCAACACTTTGAAGACAAAGACTTTAGCTGCTAGGCTACTGCGCTGCCGCCCGTCTTTCTGTCACTTGCCTTGCCATGTACCCTTCTGGCCCGGTTCATCCTTCATTGCCTCCATCCCGCCCTCACCACCCTTAGAAGCTGAGGGTTTAATTTGTCTGGTACGAAAGCCCCATCCTCTACCTCCTCCGGCAGCTGAGGCAGCTGTGCCAAGATGCCAGTTTAGGTTCTCCATGTTGTCTTTGTTCTTGGCTGGGGGACAGAGGGTCTGTGTGGAACAGGTGTTCTGCATAGCGGTTAAGACACCAGTGAAGGTGCCTGTAGCCCATGTCAGAGTGCCCTGGGTGCAGACCCTTGCTCTGGCTGACTCCAGCTTCCTGATAACATTGGCCTTGTGAGAGATAGAAGGTATGTGTAGGCCTAGTCTCTGGCTTTATATTCAACTTGGCCCAGCCATTGTGGGCATTTAAAAATTCTTTCCTGGAGCTGGAATTGTAGCATAGCAGGTATGGCTACTGCCCGTGATGCTGGCATCCCATAAGCACCGATTTATGTCCTGGCTGCTTCACTGCAGTCTGGCTGCCTGCCAGTGGCCTGGGTAAGGGAGTAGAACGTGTCCCTTCTCACCCACATGGGAGACCCGAATAAAGCTTCTGCCTCTTTGCTTTGGCTTGGTCCAAACCTGGCCATTATGGCTATCAGGGAGTGAACCAATGGATGGAATCTCTCTGTCTCTCCCTTTCTCTCTCTGTGACCCTGACTTTCAAATTTTAAGATTTATTTTTACTTATTTATTCAGTTTTACTGGAAAGTCAGACTTATAGAGAAGGAAAGACAGAGAGGGAGTCCTGGCGCTGTAGAAAGATCCGTCGTCTGCTGATTCACTCCCCAAGTGGCCACAATGGCTGGAGCTGAGCTGAGCCGAAGCCAGGAGCCAGGAGCTTCTTCCGAGTCTCCCGTATGGGTACAGGATCCCAAGGCTTTGGGCCATCCTCGTCTGCTGTCTCAGGCCACAAGCAGGGAGCTGGAAGGTAAGTGGAGCTGCTGGGATGTGAGCCAGTGCCCATATGGGATCCTGGCACATGCAGGGTGAGCACCTTAGCCTCTCGGCTACGTGCTGGGCCCAATAAATAAATCTGGCTTGTTTGTTTGTTTGTAAGATTTATTTATTTTTTTTATTTGAAAGTCATATTTACAGAGATGAGGAGAGACAGAGAGAAAGATCCTCCATCCACTGGTTTACTCCCCAGATGGCTACAATGTCAGGAGCTGAGCTTATTCAAAGCCAGGAGCCAAGAGCTTCCTCTGGGTCTGTCACGTGGGTGCAGGGTACCAAAGCCTTGGACCATTCTCTGCTGCTTTCCCAGGCCACAGGCAGGGAGCTGGGAGGGAAGTGAAGCAACCAGGATGCTAACTGGTGTCCATGTGGGATCTTGGTGCATGCAAAGGAGAGGTTTTAGCCACTTGGCTGCCACACTTGGCCCTAAGTAAATAAATCTTTAAAAACAGTCCCATCTCTGCTCTGTCCAGCAATGGGAAGTTATCCCCAGCTATAAATGCTAATGTGGGCAGCGTAGGTATCACTCATGGGCGTCCGCGGAGCCATGTTAATGGCTGAGCCGTGTTATTGGCTTAGAAATCTTGAATGGAACCCCTTTGTCCCAACAGTATGGTGAAGTTCTCAACCTGGTGCTTTCCAGTAAGAGGCCAGGCACAGCTGTGGTGGAGTTTGCAACTGTCAAGGCCGCGGTGAGTGCTGCAGGAGGCCTCCAGAAACTTGTCCTTCCAGGACAGCTGCCCCATTCCGCGGGCCCACTCCCACTCCAGGCCAGTACAGGGCCAAGGCTGCCCCAGAGACCCTGGCTGGCTGCCAGAGTGGTCAGCAGGGTACTTAGGGATGAAGCCAAGTACTAAAGGCCTCTTGGTTCTGGATAGCTGATTCCATACTCTCAGTTGCACACCCATCTGGGCTCGTGGCCCTTAGTCCTCCTTCCCAGCCTTGGTGGTCCTCACTCCCCCAGACCAGAGGATGCATCAGCCCCTTTGCATGCACTGAGCAGGAGGAAGGCTCCAGCCCAGGTGGTAGAGGCGTTCGGCTCTACTGGGAGGGCTAGAATGCTGGAGGAGCGGGAGAGCCACATGGTACCAGCTTGATGGTGGGACTAGGACTGAATGTTGTGTTTGGCAGGTGCTGGCTGTGCATAATGAAGTGGGCCTGGTTGATAATCCGCTGAAGATCTCCTGGTTGGAGGGACAGCCAGTTGAAGTGGGCCCTGGCCATTCAGGACTGCCAAAGGTAAGCAGACGGGCCTTGCCCAGCTGGGCTTGTTAAGGCTTGGGGCCCTATTCCTGTGGGGGCTCCTCTGGGGGTCACTTTGTGTCCAAATGCAGGAGCAGGGTGGGACTGTCTGGTTGCCAGCCTGAGCAGGGACTGTGGTTTGGGTGGGCCTCTGAAGGCCCTGGAGGCCTGAACTAGAGGGGTGACCTGGGATTTGCTTTCCCTACACATCTGGGCTCCTGACAGGGCTCTCATTCTCACCCAGTGGGATCTGCTGGCTTTGCTGTGGAAGGACACAGCTGCAGTATAGGGCAGGTGCCTGCAGCAGCTGCACTCTTGCCCAGCATGGCAGTGTCCTTGGTATGAGCGTGGCTGTGCTAACAGGGACCTGCTGCAGCACTGGCTCCTCTTCTAAATTGCCTGGTGTCCTGGGGCATCACTGGCCCACAGCCTGAGTATGGACAGGCCGTCTGGGTGACCTGAGGTCCCTGCAGGCTCTCTGCCCACAGGCGTCTGTGAGGGCCACTGTATGGCCCTGGCTTTTCCTTGTCTGAATGTGGTGGTTGGGTCTATAGGGCTCTTGGCTGCCCCACCACCACCTAGGCAGGGCACATTATTCCGGGGGCATGAGCCTCAGCCTGGCTCTTTCTTCCCTGGAGCGGCCTACGGGCCCGGTCTGTCCTCTCGCTGGGTTGGCAGGAGAGCTGCTTAGTTGGCCCTCTGCCATGCCGCCCTGCTGTCCTGCTTGAGAGGACCAGCGCTCGTGAGGGTGTGTCTCAGACCCTTAACATGGAGGAACATTAGCCATGAGCCATGAGACCTTGTCACCCCCTGCCCGAGGCCCAGCACCCCACAGCCTCAAACAGCAGAGCGGGTTATTTCTTGGCTCCTCATGCCTTACACCTGGCACCTGGGCCCAGGAGGGGACAGGGAAGGCTGCAAATGAGGCCTGTGGAGGTGGCATGTGTCACAGCTTGCCCTCCCCTCTACCACACTTGGAGAGGCCTCAGTGTCAGAACCACAGCATCCCAGTCAGATCATGGGGTGAGGCCATAGAACCTCCTGTGACCTTGGCCCCATTGACAGGTGCAGAAGCCTGGGAGTCAGAACCACAGTGCCCCGGTCAGACCATAGGGTGAGGCCGGAGCACTTCCTGCGGCCTTGACCCAGTTGGCAGGTGGAGGTTCCAGCTGGGCACAGCTCCCCAGTGCTGGAGGAGGGCCCTGGAGGCAGGCCAAGGAGGCCAGCTCTTGCTCCTCGGGGTTAGCATCTCTCCCAAGTCTGTCCTTCCTGTGTCTAGGAAGATCTGTTGCTCTCTGGTTGCAGTTCCCAAGAGCTTCATTGCCAGTTAATTCTGGAAATTCCCCAAAGCATCTGCTCATGTAGCCCCGCCATGCCCCTGGCTGCCACTGCCTACCGTTGCGTTCCTTGGCACCAGGGACTGCAGTGGACAGCAGTGTTGGCGGATTGCTGCTCTCCCGTCTCCCTGGCTGCATGCCATCCTTTCTGAGCGTTTTCTTGAATTGTCCTTCACGTCCCTCTTGGCCTCTCTTGTTTTATATTCCCTAGAAGCTTCTCCCTGGTAGATGCACCAAGGACTCCAGGCAGAGGGCCAGGGTAGTCCCAGGACGCTCCTATCCTTCCCGCATTCCCTCATGTGGCAGCCACTCATCACTGTGCTTGCTGGATGTTTGAAATGCAAGACTGGAAACTGAGTTTTATTTTATTTTATTTCAATGAATTTCCACAGCCAGATGGAGCAAGGGGCCACCACAGCAGTCAGGCTCACCTCCCCTCTCCTCTCAGCCCCTCCTACACCCTGCCTTACCCTGGGCCCCACCAGTTTCACCAGAGACAGTGGCTTCAGAGGGAGCTGGAGCGTGGCACAGTGGGTTCTGCCCAGTTTGGGTCCTCTGTCTTCTCATCCTCTGACTTGCCCCAGGCAGGTCTACCGGGTTCCTGTGGTTGCAGGGTGTGGCCTGCCTTTGCTGACCTCGCCAGCTTCCTTCTGGGTTGCTACCAGGAAGTGCCCCCTCCCCTTTTCCCACTTGCCTCTGTGTCTCATGGGGGTGCTGACCTGAGAGACTGCAGGATCCAGGGGGCAGCCATGACCATCCACTTGCACCCCAGCCTTCTTAACCACAGCTACCCGCTACTTTCCTGCATCTGCAGCCTCTCATCCCTCTAATCCCCCCGGCTTGGTCCCGCGCGCTGTACTCAGAAACTGGGCTCACTGGGGAATTGATCCCTCAGCAGCTGTAGGATTTCTTCAAGGAGTGAAACCCCCAGGTCCACTTTGAAGGAGAAAAAGGGGTCGCTGAGGTCCGGAACTGGTGGTCGCTGGAAGCGGGGAGTGTCCACAAGGTCCTCTGAGGATCGGTGAAGGGGGCCTGCCAGGGAGAGCGCCGAGGGCAGGGTGGCCGAGTAGGCAGTGGTGTAGGCAGCTGGAGGCTCCAAGATGTTGGGGCAGCTGGAGCTCTCGCAGTAGAGGCGTGGGGGCTTGGGTGGGGCCAGCAGGGTGGCCCGGGGCTGCTCATCTCCCCACAGCGGCAGGCGCCGGCCATCTGGCCTCCCTCGCAGCTCCCGGATGACCTCCCGGTTGCTGTACTCCTCATGGTCCCCGCCAGCTGTGCTGGCCTGGCTGAGCACACTTCCCTGTCGCTGGAGTCGCCGGGGCCGCCCCAGGGTCAGCCGCTTGAAGAAGGAGGCATTTCGGAACGAGCCTTTCCGCCAGGTCTCCATGGACCCCAGGAGCCGGCAGACAGGCCTGGCACCCAGCAGCCCTGCACTCAGGAGTGGCCGGTGACCATGCGGGGCTCTGGGAGGTGGCCCTAGTGGCCCGGAAGCAGGTGCCTCAGGGTTTCTGCTCTGCAGACCTGGGCCAGCATCTCGGAGGGTGGGCAGAGGCCGCAGAATAGCCAAAGTTCCTACAGGGGCAGGAGTGGCCTGGTTACTTGATAAGGCAGTGGAAAAACCCCGAGGGAAGGAGCAGCACTTACGAGCTGGAGCCGGAGCCAGAGCTGGGGCCGGAGTTGGCAGAGTCGGATCTCTCGGGTGGCGACCGTGGTGCTTCCTGCCCGGACAGGAGCTGATGGGCCTGAGCTCGTCCGGTCTCTGGCTGGCTGTGCGTTAGGCAATGCAGGGCTGTACCCTCTCTGCTGGCGGCTGGGCCTCTGACGAGTGGCTGTTTGTGGCAGCGTGTGGCGGTGGGCCGTGTTTGTGCTTCTAACAGCTGACTCAGTCAGGTGGGAAGCTGGTTTCCTGCTCAGAGGTAATTGCAGTGGTGTCCGAGTGCAGGGATTGGAGCAGTCTGACCAACACCCCAGGGCAGTGGAGCGCCTGAGATTCCTCTGGAGACAGCCCTGCCCCGGGTGTCACCACGCTGCTTCCTTTCTCATTTCAGCCCCACCTTGGGTCTAGGTGGGAGGAGCCAAGGAGGTGGGAGCTAATTGAAAGGCAGGCTTGTGGAACAATAGTTGGGGAAGGGAGAGACCCTGGCGGTGCAGCTGATTCAGCTCAGGTGACAGGCACTTATTAGCAGCAGTGAGCCACAGGAATTGGGGGAGGAGGCGCGTTAAGGAGAGCCGCCCCCAAACCTGTAAAGGCTCCACTCCTCCTGGGGCGGGCTCCTGGCAGGCCAGAGGCGATGCTGAATTATTGAACTCAGAACTAGGGGAGAAAAAGTGCCTGACATCCGTCTGGCTCTTCCCTCCACTCTGCACCTCTATGAGCAGCCCTTCTGCCTTGCTGCTGGGCTTCACTGGGGCAGGGGAGGAGGCTTCATCAGCAGCACCCTGGGCCAGGCCAGGCAGGTGCACGTGCTTGGAGGGCAGTTTTCCCAACAGCAGCCATGGCCAGGACTGGAACGGTGGGGTAGGCTGATGGGAGGGCTGAGTAACACTTCTTGTTTCTTGGCACCCCTTACCCCAAACCAGTTAGCTAGAGCCTCACCTCTGCACCCCTGCCACTCCCTGCCCATTTTCTGCCTCCTTGGCCAGCCAAAATATCCTCCTGGCTGTTCTGTGCCAGCGCGCCAACATCAGATGTTGTGGGATGCGGCCCAGCGTCTCACAGTCCCTCCCTGCCCTGTCTTGCCTCTGCTGGCATGGGTGGACTCACACTGCTCTAGGAAGCCTCAGGACCACATGATTGCCACCCAGGGAACAAGGACAGGATTTGCTGTGCATTGCAGACCTTATCAGGCCTCCGGCCCACAGCCCAGACCAGGGAGGTAACTGTTTGTTATTCTTTTGATTATTAAAATACAGTACTCCTTAATCCCCTGCACAGGGTTCGCAAGGTCAGAAAAAGAGTCCTAGTGTTTGTTTCAGAAGGCAGGCGGGCCTTCCACTGACATTTCTCTTAGGATTGGGCCACCCTTTGCATCCTTAGTAGGAGCCAGGCCATGGGGAGGCAGGCAGCTGGGGCCAGGCAGGCTGCAGCCAGTGGATGCCTTTGTTGGAAACCGTGAGGCAGAAGCCAGGTGGCAGGGCGAAGGCGTGCCAAGGGAAGGACCAGAGGAAACAAAGGGCCATGACGACCTGACTGAGCGTGGGCAAGTGAGTTAGCCAGAAGTGACAGCTGCAGCTGACCCAGATGGGAAAGACCCCGGGGAAAGGGAGATTGGGGATCCAGCTGAGCTGGGCTGAAGGAGCTGGCTAAGGAAGGGTCCTACAAAGGCCAAGGGCCTTCTTGGTCTAGAGAATGGTCAGGATTCCAGAAGGATGTTCTGGGGTCTTACCTTCCAACATCCCTTCATGACCACAGCCCTGTCTGCTGGCTCTGGAGTCTGAAGGGCTGTACCTTGCCACTCCTGACCCTGGCTTGTCCCCTGCCTGTCCCCAGGACTCGGTGCTGTCGGAGAGGGACTACGAGAGCCTGGTCATGATGCGCATGCGTCAGGCCGCAGAGCGGCAGCGGCTGATCGCTCAGATGCAACAGGAAGACACAGAAGGACCGCCAACGTAGCTTCCACTCAGGACCCCTAACCCACAGCCCTTTCCTGAAGCCCCTGCAATAAACTTCTGTTTGTTAAAGAGTCTCCTTCTAATAGGTGCCCAGTGTAGGGTGGCCCCAGCTGCCTCCCTGGGCAAGACAGTCCCCCCTCTTCCCTGCCCCGCGCTTCTGCCTCCTGGAGGCACTGCCCCAGCACAGCAGAGGAGGACCACTCTGCAGAGCCTTTTATTGTTAAGGACGGAGGCCTGGGATGCCCAGCATGGATGGGGGCAGCCAGCTCATAGAGCACATCTGCTCCCAGAAGGCAATGTGCGGCCTGAGCTGCAGGGTAGCTGTGAGCTGAGGAGGAAGGGGCTCCTACCCTCGGGCTGGAGGAAGGCAGTGGCTGGGGAACTGCTGGGGGACTGGGGACAAGGCAGCCCCTTTGAGGAAGGGGTCACTCCTTGTGCAGGCACCACACCAGTGTCTGGCCCACCCCAGTCATGCTCAGCACCCGGAAGCCCCTGCGTTCCAGCTTGTCCAGGACGATGCGAGGAGGGTCATTGACGTAGTACTCGGAGCTGCAAGAGAGCAGAGGGATGGGTGATGTGAGGACCTGTGCAGGGCAGGCCTGGTCAGGAGGTCTCGCTGCAGGGGCTCAGCGTGCTAGATGCTGCCCAGCCTGCTCTCCCTGCCCCTCCCCTGCCAGTCCCATGCACTGTCGCATGCACTCCTCCCAGCAGCTTCACTGTGGCACCATGTTTAGGTACTACAGAAAGCTTACGAAGCGACAGAACTAAGAGTTGGGTTGGGATGATTGTGGTGCAGTGGGTGAAGCTGCAGCTTGTAACCCTGCATCAGAGTACTGATCCAGTTCCCAAGCTGCTCCACTTCCAGTCCAGCTCCCTGCTAATGCACCCGGAGAACAGCAAGTATTTGTGCCCCTGCACTCACATGGGAGTTCCTGGCTCCTGACTTTGGCCTGACCCAGCCCTGGCTGTTGGTCAGTGAACCAGAGCATGGAAATTCTTTCTCTCTAACACTCTTTCAAATCAATCAAAACTTAAAAAAAGATCAGAGTTTGTTGGTGCAAGAAAACTTTGAAATCCATGTTTGAAGTTTTTATGATAGACATTCTACAGCTCTTTGCAACCCCCTTACATTCTTGAGAAAACAGGTTAGATGTGTATCTTCCAGTGGCACACAGTCGACTCCACATTGGCCCGACAGCGGGCATGGAGGTGAGTGCACGTGCTGCTGGGAGGAGCGGCTTGCTGTCCCAAGACCTGCTCCTGCCTCGCCCGGCTGGCCTGCAGTGTGGGGGCAGCGGCTCCGGGCTTTTGGCCACACCTTGGCACGGAGCACTGGTGCTTTCTCTTAACTTTACCTGACGCCCAGGGCTCATTCAGCCTTGGCCCTGGGGGTTGGGTTCGGCTCCCTCCTCGTTGCCCCCTTGGAACTGGGACTAACTTGGGCTGTTTCTTGGGAGCTCTGTGCCAATGCAGCCAGGGTTGGTGGCCAGGGAGCTGAAGAGGAAGTAGTGCTCACAGGATGGATGCAGAGAGGGTGTGAATGAGGCCAAGGGATGTGGCTGAATCCTGGGCAGCAGCCTGGCTGGATTCCAGAATCTCACTATGCTACCCAGCCTGCTTGGCCAGACAGAAGCTTGGCTTGCCATGCCTGCTGGGGACCAGCTTAGAGAAAGGAGGGCAGGGCCAGGAGCAGTCTGCTCACGGCAGCGCAGACCCAGGCAACAGACTCAGGATGCATGGAGCTGCCTTGTGATAGAGACCAGAGGCCAGCCTTGAGGACTGTGGGGGAAGGGGGGACACAACAGACCCTGAAGAGGGCAGGACGCAGGCACAGGTGGGTTGGCCCTGGACTTGGAAGTTGTGTAATGGAAACTGAGGCAGGTGTGGGGTGCCCCTACTTACAAGTTGTTGCCAAGGGCACATCGCTTGGAGGCTCCCAGATGCTGCATTAGCTCTGGATCCGAGTACTCATCTCCCACCATGGTGGGGCCCACCTCCTGCAAGGGAAGCCACAGACTGTCTTGGTTCTCCTCCTCCCATGCAAGCTTCCGGTAAGGATTGCAGGGGCTGTAAGGTCGAGACTGAGCCCAAGCTAGCACGGACTGGAACCCATCAGTGAGAAAGCTGAAAAGGGCAAGGCCTCCCTGCAGGCCCCACAGAGTTACGCTGAGCATTGCATGTACATTGCGCTGGTTTAAAGGAGGACAGAGACCCTACGCTATCCGCCAGGGAATGCAGCCATTCGGTGGACTCACAGGGCGACAGGAAGGACCCAAGTACACACACCACAACGTGCATGGCACTGCACACCTGGGAGAGCAAAAGCAAAAGGCCACACGTTCGGATAGAAAACAGGTTAGTGGTTACTCGGGGAAGTGGGGAGTGCCTCATTGTTTAAGTTTTATTTTTATTACAAAGTCAGATATACAGACAGGAGGAGAGACAGAGAGGCAGATCTTCTGTCCACTGATTCACTCCCCAAGTGAGCACAACTGCTGCTGCGCCGATCTGGAGCCAGGAGCCTCTTCCAGGTCTCCCACACGGGTACAGGGTCCCAAGGCTTTGGGCCGTCCTCGACTGCTTTCCCGGGCCACAAGCAGGGAGGTGGATGGGAGGTGGGGCTGCCGGGATTAGAACCGGCGCCCATATGGGATCCTGGGGCGTTCAAGGTGAGGACTTTAGCTGCTAGGCCACAATGCCTGGTCACTGGGTTTTCCTTTAGGGTGAGTGGAGCAACATGTTTACTGGTGGGGAGAAATTTCCAAATCTTGGAGGTCACAGAAGGGCTGATGTGGTGTTGTGGGTAAAGCTGCTGCGTATAATACCAGCATCCCCTGTGTGGCTGGTGCCCCATTTGTGATCCAGCTCTTTGCTAATGGCAGTGGAGGATTACCCAAGTGCTTGAACCCCTGCATCCACGTGGGAAACCTGGAGATGCTCCTGGCATCTGTCTAGCCCAGTCCTGGCCATTGTGGATCTCTCTCTCACATTATTTATTGTCTCCCCCCCCCGTCTGTCTGTCTCTGTATATATATATATATCTGAAAAGCAGATTTACAGAGAGAGGAGTGGTAGAGATCTTCTGCAGTTCACTTTCCAAGTGGCCACAAGAGCCGTAACTGAGCTGATCTAATCTGAAGCCAGGAGACTCATCTGGACCTCCCACGTGCTTGCAGGGTCCTAAGGCTTTGGGTCATCCTCTATTGCTTTTGCAGGCTGTAAGCAGGGAGCTGGATGGGACGTGGAGTACTTGGGACACGAACCAGCATCCATATGGGATCTTGGTGCTTGCAGGCAAAGGATTAGCATGCTGCACCTCTTCACTGCTGCTTCACATAGCATTTTTTTTAAAAAGGTGGGCTAGGGCCTAGTGCAGTAGCCTAGTAGCTAAAGTCCTCTCCTTGCATGCTCTGGGGTCCCATATGGGTGCCGGTTCTAATCTCAGCAGCCCCGCTTCCCATCCAGCTCCCTGCTTGTCGCCTGGGAAGGCAGTCAAGGACGGCCCAAAGCCTTAGGACCCTGCACCCATCTGGGAGACCCGGAGGTGGCTGCTGGCGCCTGGCTTTGGATTGGCTCAGCTCCGGCCGTTGCAGCTACTTGGGGAGTGAATCAGCGGACGGAACATCTTCCTCTCTGTCTATAAATCTTAAAGAAAGAAAAGGTGGGCTGTGTTGTGGGTACACAATGGTAGAAACCGAGTCTGAGTCTTTGGCTTTTACTTCCGTATGTGCACACTTTTATTTTTTAATTAGAAAGTAAGGAATACAGAGAGGAGGAGAGACAGAAAGATATTCCATCCGAATATTCACCCCCCAAGCAGCCGCAACGGTTGGAGTTGGGCGTATCCGAAGCCAGGAGCCCAGAGCCCCCTTTGGGTCTCCCATAAGGGTGCAGGGTCCCAAGGCTTTGGGCCATCTTTGACTGCTTTCCCAGGTCACAAGCAGGGAGCTGGATGGGAAGTGGAGCTGCTGGGATTAGAACTGGTGCCCATATGGGATCCCGGCAAGTTCAAGGGGAGGACTCCAGCAACTAGGCTACTGTGCTGGGCCCCACAGTTTTTTTGCTTTGTTTTAAAGAGAGTATCTGGGTGGGGAGAGTATTTTGGCTTGTGGACGTCCCAGCCTCAGAGTGAATTTGAGGAAATGTAGGCAGGGACACAGGAGAAATATAGTATGTGCTGACATTCTTGCCCAGCAGGTTAAGCTGCCACTTGTGCTTGCAGCATGCCGTACGGGTACCGATTCCAGTCCTGGACATTCAACTTCCAATCCAGCTCCCTGCTAATCCCCAGGGGAAGGCAGAGGAAGATGACCCAAGGACTTGGCACCCTTCACCCACTTAGGAGCCTGGATAGAGTTCCAGTCTCCTGGCTTGCACCTGACCCAACCCAGGCTGATGCAGCCATTCGGAGTGAATCGGTGAGTAAAAGATCTCTCTCCCTTCTTTTCTGTAACTGCTTTTCAAAAATAAGTAACAAGTAAAAACAATGAGAAGCAGAGCAATTTCCCCTTCTGCTGGTCTGCCTCCCTCCCAGATGCTTGCAAATAGAATTAGCTCTCCCACCTGAATGTGTGGGGCTCAACCATTAGAGCCATCAACTGTTGCATCCCACAGTTCAAGTTAAGAGAGCTGCAGCAAGGCCTTTACCTGGGACTTAACCTCAGGCATCCCGCTTTGGCATGAGTGCCCTAGCTGGCATCTTAACCCCTAGGCCACTGCTCACCACAGGAATTTGCATTTTAACCACTGCCCTAGGGGCACTGCCAAGACGGTCTTGTAATGATCTTACCCACTCTTGTCTCATCCCAAGGGAGCTCTGTGCTCCTCCACCCCCACCCCTCCCACCCAAGGTGTGGGGATATCTGCACAAGTGGGGTAGCGGCACTGCTATAAATTCTGACGCTCACAGGGCCTCGGGGCGCTACCAGCACTGGTTTTCACAGGGGAGAACGCTGCACCCAGGAAAAGGGGGCGCACGTGGGACTCCCGGTTGGCCTTCTCCCCAGCTGCCGCCCTCCCCCCCCCCCCTTGTACCCTTTCTTTCTCTCCTCCCCGCCCTCCCGGGACCGGGCTTCCTGCAGGTGCCACAGGACGCAGCTGCGGATGCGAGCCAGGGGCTTGGCGCCGGGCTCTAGCGCAACAGCAGGTCCTTCTCTTGCCCAATTCCCTTCACCTCAGGTTTTCCCACTTTTTTTCCTGGGAAGTAGCTCTGTGGAGGGCACTACAAGCTGCATGTGTGCGGGCAGGGCTCTCGCCCACGGGAGACTCGTCCCAGCGAGGACGAGGCAAGAACGCATGCACCCGGCCCGGCCAGAGGCCCAAAGAGGCTCCTGCTCCCCAGGGCTCCCGAGTCACGAAGGCCAGGAGGAGCCCGCTTGCACAGCTCCGTGGCCGCCGCCGAGGGGGCGTGCCTGCGCGGGCTCCGGGTGGGCACTTCCCCCGAGAGAGGCACGGAGGTGCCACGGCGGCCCGCATCGGGCTCCGAGTCTGCGGGCGACCGGTACTCACCGTGCGGATCTGAGTGCTGATGAGCAGATACGGCATGGTGCGCGCGTCCTGGCCAGGCTCCCAGCCTGTGGCTCAGCCCCTGTAGCGTCTACACTGCGACCCACAAGCCGGGATCCCGTTATTCTGGTCGCAGCCACTGGCGGCGCCAATGCTAGGGGGCCGGCCAATCAGGAGCGGACGGCGGTGACGCGCCAGGCCCTCGACCTGTCCGGCCTTGCGGGCAGCGGACTTGGACCCCGGGGCCGGGAGAAGATAGGTGTGCGGGAAGGAGGGGGCAGCCCGCAGCCTGGAGGCGCGGGATCGCCGCTGGCCAGGGGTCCTGCGCGTGGGGAGCCTGTGCCCTCGCCCTGCAACATCTCTGGGGCAGGCTGCAGAGTCGCCACTGTGAGGACTGGAGAGCTTTGGGCGACCTCGCTGACGCCCCCAGGCTCCAAGTCCAGCTAGCCCAGGAGCGCCTCCGCAGCTCGTGGGGACGGGGGCGGGGGCCTGTGACTGGCCCGGTGGCCGCGTGCTCGCTGCCGCCCCCCTTCATAGGTATGCGGCCCGGCAGGTTGAGTCTGGAGGAGCTGCGCACTGGTCCCATTACCGTAGTGGTGGAATCTGACCCTCCCCTGGGGGTGCTTCCTGCTCTGCTATGGAGGTGGAGGTGGGGCGCACCCGCGGTGGCCGGGCTACGCCTGGGGGCCGGCGTGTGGGTGGTGGCAGAGCTGACCCTGCCACTTGGTGTCCTGTCATCTGTGCCCGGACCGGCTGCGTCACACTTGGCCACTTGCCATCCGCCTCTGTTTCAGTCTCCAAGAAGCAAAGCGGACGGAAGTGGCCAGGGTTCTGGTCTCCCTGTGCTGAGGCAAGCTTAGCTTCCTTCTGCCGGCCGGAATAGGACCACTAGGGCCGCCAGCGCTGAGACCCAGTGGACCAAGCTATAAAAGCCACAGGAAGTTGTATTACTAAAAGATCCTTACTTAATGGCCTAGCTTACCATTTTTTTTAAAGGATTTATTTAATGAAAGAGACAGAATCTTTAGCCTGTTTATGGGATTCTAACTTATGGAAAGTAGAGCAGTTAGGACTAGAACTGGCACCCATATAGGATCCCAGCAGATGCAAGGTGAGAAATTAACTGTTAGATTGTGACGCTGGGCCCCTCATTTTTAAATATTTAGTTTTTGTTGGAAAGGTAGATTTACAGGGAAAAGACGGGAAGATTCTCTTCTAGTTTACTCCTGAAATGGCTACAAGGTCTGGAGCTAAGCCAATCCAAAGCCAGGGGCCAGGAGCTTCGGCTGGGTCTTCCACGTGGATGCAGGGTCCCAAGGCTTTGGGCCGTCCTCTACTGATTTCCCAGGCAACGAACAGGGAGCTGGGTGGGAATTGAAGCCAGCGGAACAGAACCAGCACCCATATGGGATGCTAGTGCTGAAAGAGGCTTAGTCAGTAGAGCCATTGTGTGGGCCCCTGGTTTATTAGTCTTTACCCCTAACCCTAATCCATCCTCTGGGCTAACCATTTACCTCCATAGAGAAAAAACATTCATGCTTAACCCAGGATATGCTAACACTGACAAAAGTTATGAAAAAAAGAAAACTGACAGCATTAGTGTCCAGGGCCTATACAGAATCACAAAAAGACAAGCAAAAAGATAAAAAAGTGATTAAAAAGCAAAAAGTGATTCTGGGAAACACTGGCAACCCGCCTAAAGCAGCACTTCATGAACGATGTCCGTGTCCAAGACGTCTTGGCAGTGCACATTTCACCAAGTTTAAAATGGACTGCCGAGCCTGCATTGTGGTGCACAGGGTTAAGCCCTGGTCTCTGTGCTAGCTATGGCCTCTTCCCGTGTGCACTCTGTCCAGTCTGGCTGCTTTGCTTGTTCACCTGGAAAAGCAGAAACGGTTGACCTAAACGTTACTTGGGCCTGGTCCAGCTCTGGCTGTTACAGCCACCTGGGAGTGAGCCAGCGGATGGAAGATCTCTGTCTTGGTTGCTCTGTCTGGATCTCTCCCTCTCTGTCTCCCTCCCATTGTCTCCGTTTCTTTTCAAGTAGATGAAATGCAGGCACCTGCTGTGACATATAGCATCTAAGTGCTAGTTCATGTCCTAGCTGCTCCATTCCCAATCCTGCTCCCTGCTAATGTGTCTGGGGATGATTCAAGTGTGTGGGCCTGTGCACCGCCGTGGGAGATTCTGATGAAGTTCCTGGCTCCAGCTTGGCTAGGCCTTGGTTGTTGCAGCCGTTTAGCGAGTGAACTAGCAAATGGGAGCTCTTTCTTCCTCCCTCTATCTCCCTCTCAGTAACTCTGCCGTAAAAAAAAAAAATATATATATATATATATATATTTAAGATTTATTCATTTTTATTGGAAAGTCAGACTTTCAGAGAGAAGGAAAGAGAGAAAGATCTTCCATTTACTGGTCATTCCTCAGGTGGCTACAGTGGCTGGAGCTGAGCTGATCTAAAGCCAGGAGCCAGAAGCTTCCTCTGAGTCTCCCTTGTGGGTGCAGTATCCCAAAGCTTATGACCATTCTCTACTGCTTTCCCAGGCCACAAGCAGGGAGTTGGATGGGAAATAGGGCAGCCAGGATATGAGCCAGCGCCCATAAGGGATCCTGGCACATGCAATGCAAGAACTTTAGCCACTGAGCCATTGTGCCAGGCCCATGATTTACTTATTGGAAAGGCAGATTTACAGGAGGAGGGACAGAGAGATTTTCTGTGTATTGGTTCATTCCTCAAGTGATCACAAAGGCAGGAGCTCTGATGTGTGTGCAGGGTCCCAAGTCTTTGGGCCATCCTCCTCTGCTTCCCTAAGCCACAAGCAGGCACTGGAATTGGAATTGGACCACCCGGGGCAAAAATCGGTGTTCATATGGTACTTGCAAGGTAAGGACTTTAGCCACTTAGAAAGGCATATTTACAAGGAGAAAGAGAAAGATAGAAAGGCTCACTCTGCAAGTGGCCTCAATGGCTGGAGCTGAGTCGATCCGAAGCCAGGAGCCAGGAGCTCTTCCAGGTCTCCCACGCAGGTGCAGGGTCCCAAGGCTTTGGGTCATCCTCTGCTGCTTTCCAGATTCCTGGCTTCAGCCTGGCCCATTTCTGGCCAATGTGGCCATTTGGGGAAGTGAACCAGTGGAGAAATAATTCCTCTATCTCCCCTTCTCTGTCGCTCTGCTTTTCAAATAAATAAATAAATAAATAAATAAATAAATAAATAAATAACTTTAATAAAATAAGAATCTTTTAATGTGTCAAGAGCCTAGATTTTAGACCCAAAGAGTAAGCCGCAGCCCAAGGCATTGGGCAATGACCTTGTTTGGAACAGGCAGGTAGGTGATGTTCTAAGCTGAAGCAGGACAGGAGCTGGGAGTCTGCTCTGTTCACCTGTCTCAGGCTGTGCAGGCAGGCAGTGGGCAGGGGGAGGCAGCTTGCCTGTGTCCGGCCTCCGGGCTGTGATGTTTGCAGAGTTGGTCTGCAGATGTGACACCAGATAGAGCCTCACTGTCCCCAGCCCCACCCCCCCAGCATTGCGCATCCTGGAGCCAAATGCCTGCCAGATAGCATCTTTAATATCCTGGGGGGAAATGAATGCCCGCACTTGGTCTGCTCGCCTGGCCTCGCTGTTCAGCACCGTCAGTGCTTCTGGCAGCACCACCTTCTCCCATGGGCAGAGGGGAATGGTATGTCTGTGCTGGCAGTAGTGTTGGCATGGGCGCTGGCTGCGGCCCACCTCTTCTTCCTGTCTTTTGTCTGGGCTGGTTGCTGGCTGGCTGCTGTATCCAGCTCAGCTAGGCCTGGAAGCGGGAGAGGGCCAGCGCACAGACCCACTGCAGGGCCAGGGCCCAAAGCAGAGGGCAGCAGAGCCCCCAGGCCTCAGGTAGGAAGGAAGAAGGGATGGATTCCACCAAGGTGCTGGGCTGGGAAGGTTCCTGGTGTAAAGAAGTTCATTTCTCTCAAAATGTCATTCATGTCCATTCTTACTAACATCTTATCAAAAATACAAAAAACAATTACAAACACTTCTCATCACAAAAAAGCAAGCGTAAGGCCGGCACGGTAGCCTAGTGGCTAAATTCCTCACCTTACACATGCCAGGATCCCATATGAGCAGTGGTTCTAATCCCAGCAACCCTGTTTCCTGTCCAGCTCCCTGCCTGTGGCTTGGGAAAGCAGTTGAGGATGGCCTAAAGCCTTGGGACCCTGCACCCCAATGATTCACTCCCCAAGTGGACGCAAGATGGGAAACAGGGCCTCCGGGATTAGAACCATATGGGATCCCGGGACGTGCAGAGCAAGGGACTTTAGCTGCTAGGCTGCCGCGCTGGGCCCAAGTTCGAGGTTTTATGTCAGAGGGCAGAAGCTGGCTCTGAGGGCTCGGCAAGTAACTGGCAGTTCATCCGTTCTCCTTGCAACTGTCGAAAAGGCGCCATGTGCCGTGAGAGCCAAGAAGCCGGAGCCGGACAAGGCAGGGGGCGGTGCAGGGAGCAGGCCGTGGCCAGCTCGGCCGGCCAGCCAAGGGCGCCGGGTCCCTTCCCAATCCCGCTCCCCGAAGACCACGCCCCGCCGGCCCCTAAACACGTGTGTCCCGCGGGAGGCGGGGCCTCGTGAGGTCATCGCTCTGCGCCCTACACGGTGCGCGCCGTCTGGTTGACGTAGCGGTCATTGACAGAACGTGGGGCAGAGGCTGCTAGATGGTGGTTGGCGCCGCGGCGGGTGTGAGTTGCCCTTCCAGGTTAGCGCGCCCCGGGGGACCCCAGAGGGAAGGCCGGGCGTCTGCGGCCGGGGAAGCGGGTCTGCTGCCTGGAGCTCTGTGAGGCTGACGACGCAGGAGGAGGACTCGGTGTTCTGGGTCAAGGTGTGCGGCGGCTGGGCGGGCTCCGTTCGGGCTGGGTGGGGGGCGCCGTGCTCAGGCCCAGGGACTGGCATCCGAAGGGTGAGGGTCTGCTGGGCGAGGGGGAGCTTCTGGGGCTCGGCCTTGCAGAGGTGGCCCGGGCTCACGGCTCTCCCTCCTCCCCTGTCCGCCTGCTCGCCCTGGGTAGCTTTGGCGGGCTACAGGTGCAGCATGTCTCGTCTGGGCGCCCTGGGCGGCGCCCGTGCCGGGCTGGGGCTGTTGCTGGGCGCCGCCGCCGGCTTGGGAGTCCTGTGCGTCCTTTACAGCCAGCGGTGGAGACGGACTCATCGCCACGGCCGGAGACAGAGCCTGCCCAACTCCCTGGACTACGTACGGACGACAGAGCCCGGACGCCAGGGTAGGACACTGACCTCAAGGGCCGAGGCCGCTGTGGGCTGAGGGTCCAGGGGTCCTGGCTTGCCTGGGCAGGGCCCGTGGGGCAGGGGAAACTGGTTGGCGGGGGGCGGGGGGGGGCGTTGTGTGAGGATCTGACGTTTCTGGAAAGTGCAGTGGCTTTCGTGAAGGAAGGCCGGTGTGGTGTGCTTTTGTTTTTTGTTTCTGGCCACAGTGGTGCTGTGTGAGTGCTCAATGCGCTTGCTTATGTTGGGTGAGGTGTGCAGCAGGTGCAAGTCCCCAAGGCAGAGGCAATGGCTCTTGTGGGAATTAAAAATCCTAAAATCACCAAGTTGTGCTGTAATGTGAAGGGAGCTCGTAGGTGGGTCCAAGTTTTAAAAACCTTCTCATGAGGAAATGGAGGCTGATAAGGATTGTGCAACTGTCCTGAGGTTGCCACAGGTGGCAAGGCTGGGCCCTCTCACCTGCTGTGGGCTTCCCTCAGCTGGGTGCTGGGTGTCCACACCGCCTGGGATTGAAGCGGAAGGCGCTGGAAGCCAGCCACAGCTGAAAGCAGGAGCGTGTCTTGTTTGGAGTTAAGCATCTTGGGCTGGCTTCCTGGGTGGGGTGATGGAAGGGCACGCGGGTCCTGTTCCCTCTTGCTCGCTGGGAACCAGGTTGGTGCTGACCGTCGCCGTCAGCTGATGCGGATGAGCGAGGCCGGCCAGCATGTGCAGAGTTAAGGCCTTGCAGCTGGGGGCCGCGTGTTCTAACCAGCTGACACTCGCAGGAGCACACGACTTTCCCTTCCCCCACCTGTGTTTTTTTTAATTTAGCAGCTTTTCTTCTGAGCTTGGGAGATGGTCGCCCGTTCCCAGGGATCTTCTCTTGCTCCCCATTGTTGAGTGTCGCGGTGGGGGTGTGGTGCACGGGCCGTTGCTGTTACTGGAGCTGGTCAGCCTTAATGCTTGCCTGGACACTGCCACGCCCCTGGGTCTTGCTTTCCCGGTTCTTTGTGGTTTTAATTTCCAGTCCAGCTGTCGTGGGGAGCTGCTGGCATTTCACTGTTGGGATTTACTTACTTCTCAACTCAGCCCGGGCAGTGGTGTTTTGCCTGGATGTTTTCCTGGTGTGATTGAAATGGAATTTTTTCCCACACACCTTTTCTCTTTGCTCCTCCCTGAGAGGAAATGAAGCTGTGTCAGGAGCCCAGTTTTTCTTGTTTGTGAAGTGAGAAATCCGAGTTGGAGCTGTCCGTGTTGACCTTGGGTGTGGTGTTGATGGTCTTGGTGTTCTGTGTGTAAGGTCGTGTTATGAAGTTGACATGCTGGCTGCCATGTCCTGTGTGCAGAGCGTTGGGAGCACAGGACCTTTGTTTATAGATTGGAGCCTTGTCTGTTTTCTGGATAGTTACCATGATTTGGCCATGATCGCTAGCTCGCAGCTGAGTCCCTGGATGCGGCGTTCTAGTGAGAGCCAGAGTACCTGACTTTTGGGTGTGAGATAGTCTTCCCCTTGCCTCCCCTCGCCTCCCCTTGTCTCACGGGTGTCTCCGTCTCCCGTTCCCCTGGCTGCAGCAGTGCTGTTGCGGGCCGTCCCGGGTGAGGCCGGAGATGCTGCGGTGCTGCCCAGCCTTGCCCAGGAAGGGCAGGAGAAGGTGCTGGACCGCCTGGACTTTGTGCTGAACAGCCTGGTGGCGCTGCGGCGGGAGGTGGAGGAGCTAAGGAGCAGCCTGCAGGGGCTCGCCGGGGAGATCGTGGGGGAGGTCCGGTGAGTATGCGGCTTTCTCGTGGGACTGCCTTGTCTCCTTCCCCTCAAAGTCCTCCAGTGCCTTGGGCGCTTTAAACCGAGCTGTGACTTAGCCTTTCTGCATCCCTGAGAAAGGAGCCAGTGCGGGAACTGCCAGCCTTGCACAAGCTGCTTCTGGGCCCTCAGGTCTCTTGTGGGATGGAAACCTTTGTCCTCGTCTAGTCTGCCCACACAGCTGGGCCCAGGTGCAGCCTTTCTTGCAGCCCCAGCATAGAGACCAAAGCTTTTCTCTGCACTTGACCATTTTTTCTTCTTTCCCCTAAGTATTTACTTATTTATTAGAAAGGCAGTTTATATAGAGAGGGAGAGACAGAGATTTTCCATCCACTGGTTCATTCCATTTGGGCAAAAGCCCAAACTGGGCCGCTCTGAAGCCAAGAGTTTCATCCAGGTCTCCCACACGGGTGCCCCGGGCCTGTTCCTCTGCTTTCCCAGGCTCATGAGCAGTGGGAGCTGGATCAGGAGTGGAGTAGCCTGGACTCAGGCCAGTACCCGCCCCCCCTTTTTTTCTTTTAAGATTTATTTGAAAGGCAGCATAATAAAGAGGTGTGAGGGAGAGGAGACTGAGATTTCCATCTGCTGGTTCACTTCCAAATGGCTGCACTGGCCAGAGCTGGGCCAGATCGGAGTTTGCAGCTAGCAAGTTCTTCTGAGTCTTCCATGTGGGAGCAGGGACCAAGGACTTGCACCCTCTCCCACTGCTTTCCCAGGCCATTAGCAGGGAGCTGGCTCAGAAGTGGAACAGCTAGAATTTGAGCAGGCAGGCAACAGCTTAACCAGCTAAGCCACAACACTGACCCTCTTGGGCCTTCAGTGACTAGTAAAGAGGCCTTCTGTTAGAAGCAGAAAGGCTGGGCCCGGTGTGGTGGCCTAGTGGCTAGGCTCTTCGCCTTGAACTTGCCAGAATCCCATATGGGTGCCGGTTGTAATCCCGGCAGCCCCACTTCCCATCCAGCTCCCTGCCTGTGGCCTGGGAAAGCAGTCGAGGATGGCCCAAAGCTTTGGGACCCTGCACCTACGTAGCAGGCCTGGAGGAAGTTCCTGACTCCTGGCTTCAGATTTTCAGCTCCAGCCATTGCGGCTGCTTGTGGATTGAACCATCGGACAGAAGATCTTCCTCTCTTTCTCTCCTCCTCTCTGTATATCCACCTTTCCAATAAAAATAAATACATCTTTAAAAAAATAAAAAGGCAGAAAGGCTGAGTGGGGCAGAGTGGTTCTCTCTGAAACAGGATTTATTTTCCAGATCGCACATAGAAGAGACTCAGAGAGTGGCTCGGCGACGAAGGTTCCCATTTGCCCGGGAGAGAAGCGACTCCACTGGCTCCAGCTCTGTCTACTTCACGGCCTCCTCGGGAGCCACGTTCACTGATGCGGAGAGTGAAGGCGGGTGAGTCACGTCTGGGGACAGCTGTGGCTGCAGCCAGCTGCTGCAAGTGTGATTTAGCCCGTTGACACTGGGCTGCTGCGAGCCATTTTTGAAATACGGTGAGGGAGTAAATAAAATTCAGAAGAAGAGGAAGTGATGGGAAAAAAATCCCACTGCCAAATGGCAGTATTAACAGTCGCTAGTGCTTGAATTGCTTATTTTACTTTTTTTTTTTTCTTAAAGATTTATATTTATTGGAAAGTCAGAGTTACAAAGATTTTCCATCCTCTGGTTCATTCCCCTAGTGCTCGCAACGTCTGGGGCTGAGCCAATCATAAGCCAGGAGCCAGGAGCTGCTTCCAGGTCTCCCACACGGGTGCAGGGTCCCCAGGCCTTGGGCCGTCCTCGACTGCTTTCCCAGGCCACAAGCAGGGAGGCAGAGCAGCCAGGACAGGAACTGCCGCCCATAGGGGATCCCTGTGCTTGCAAGGGGAACAATTACTTCATTGAGCCGTTGTGCCAGGCCTGCTTATTTTCCTTTTGAGTCTTTTCTCCCCGAGTTACTGTGACCCATCTTTTGTTAGTCTGTGTATGTTTCTAGACTTGAGCAGTATTGTGTGGCTGCTTTGTTCCCTCCATTGAGTGGCTGTGCAGGGCTTGTGGACACCTCCTAGCAGGTCGTGTGCTGTCCTGGGGTTGCTCTCTTCCCCCCGGAGCCTCTGCCTGCTTTCCCATCTCTGCAGGTGGAGGTCACTGTCCAGGGCTTAGTGGCCTTCAGAGCTGCCTTTCAGGATGGGCAACAGCAGCAAGTCAGTTGGGAGTGGAGCAGCAACTTGAATCCAGGCAACTGGTAGGGATTATGGGTCTCTCAGAGAGGGTCTTTTTTTTTTTTTTCATTGGTTTATGCAACTTTATTGAAGAAAAATAAATCAGTTACTAGGGCCCGGCGCGGTGGCGCAATGGTGCAATGATTAAGTTCCTCACCTTGCACACCTGGGATCCCATATGGGCACTGGTTCTAATCCCAGCAGCTCCGCTTCCCATCCAGCTCCCTGCCTGTGGCCTGGGAAAGCAGTCGAGGACGGCCCAAAGCCTTGGGACCCTGCACCCGTGTGGGAGACCTGGAAGAGGCTCCTGGCTTCGGATCGGCATAGCATCGGCCGTTGCGCTCACTTGGGGAGTGAATCATTGGACAGAAGATCTTCCTCTCTTTCTCTCCTGTCTGTATATCTGCCTTTCAATAAAAAAAATAAATCTTTAAAAATAAATCAGTTACTAGAGAGCTGTTAGTTGATCACTCATGCATTGACAACTTGCATCATTTATTCAGTGCTATATTAAACTGTATTGGAAGATAGATTAACTAATAGCTCCAAGCCTCCTAACAATTTAAATGAAAATTACAAAATGTTTGAGACCCTATTTTGGAATACAAAGGGTGTTTGACTTCCAATTTCCATTCTTTGTAAAGCAAGAACAGGTCATTCCTTTATTGACATGCATAAAATACATCACATTTTTCTGTTCTGATGATGCTATAAATTCAGTACCAATTCTCCAGCCACATCAGTTATGGCATAAAGTATATCATGTAACCTCCGATCTCTAACAGAAGAAGGCTTAAACAAAAATGGATGCTGCTAGAATAATGCTGCTGCCTTTGATGTGACAACTGCATCCAGCTCCCTGCCTTCCACATGATTTCGTCAGCATGGTAGAGCAGTGAGGAAAGGTTTTAGTCTCATAACCAAGTTAGAGTAAAGACATTGGCCACATGATACACATGCTCCATTTTTTTGAAAAATTCTGAATTTTGGGCAACTGTTCTCTTGTAACTACTTTACAGTTTCTAAAAGCAGTTACTGTCCAAAACTGTAAGAACTTAAGTCTTCTCAGATGAGCATGTGAATGAATGTAGGGAAGTAAACAAAAAATAAAGTTAAAAAAGATGAGGTCTGATAGGGGAGCAGCCGGATAAGAAAATCAAAAAAGGAACAGTAATTTAAGGTTTATGCCAGCTGTAATGCAGGTTATTCTGACTTTAAGGCAGCATCACATGGCATACTTCTGAGTCCATTCCCAAGGTTTTCTGTTGTACTTATCTCTGTTTTATAGATCCGTGCAATCTCTGGCACTAGGGGGTCATCTGGGTTTGGATCAGTGAACAAATGGATATATTTAAAACAGGAGGCCACTGTGATCTTAGAATATCGAGACAAATGCTGCCATTACTGTTAATATTTGGATGATGAATTCTTGTAGATGCAGCCTGAGGTGGTTTGCAGGGATAGTCTGTAGGAAAATGAATTGTCAAAAAGAATATACCGCCTTGACAAGGGCTGTCATTAAGTCCCGTAATTGTGGCTTGCCAGTGAAACGTATCTGCGACTGGACCTGCAGAACATTGTGCTGAGGGTCACAGGCCAAATCACTAAGTTCCTTAGTAATCCGTCCGTCTCAGTGTCATAGTCTGTGCTTTCGTCTGGCTCCTCTCTCCCTCTCTCTCTTGGTGTGTGCTCAAAGGTCTGCCCGAAACTCTTGATCATCCGAGCGGCGAGGAAGGATTGTCTCTTGGTCTCACACCGGCTCTGCCAGGCGCAGGCGCAGAGGGCCGGGGCCTCCCTCACACTGGTGCCTCCCCGGCCTACGGGGCTCATGCGCGTGACACAGCCACAGGATGCCCGCTCTGACAGAACTACTCAGATAGGCTCTGAACTGCTTTGCCAAGTGTTTGTCCCAGGGCTTTTATATCCATATTTATTTTTATTTGGAAGGCAGTGTTAGAGAAGAGACACATTTTTCATTCTGTTGGTTTACTTCCCAAAAAGGGCTCACTGGCAGGAGCTGGGTTGATCTGAAGCTAGGACCCCAGAATGGGTGTGCGGGCCCAAGTGCTTGGGCCATCTTCTGCTTTCCCAGGCGCGTTACGGGAAGTTGGGTTGATATGGAGCAGCTGGAACTCCAACCAGCACTCTGATATGGTATGCCAGCATCCTAAGTGGCATTTTAACCTGCTGTGCCACCGTCCTTGCCCTGAAATGAATTTGACACATCTAGGTTGAAGAGGAAGACGATGAAGTAGATGGTAGTGGATGCTGAGACTAGGGGCCTTTTCTGCAATCCAAGCAGGTAGTTCCCTTTGTGGGGAATTGACATTTGGGCTTTGAAAAACGGTAGGATAGGCCATGGCTCTGCCTAAAACCAGGATACAGAATTTCAGCCCTTGCTTATGATTTTAAAAGGCTGTACCAAAATCTGAGGTCAGCTAGTGTTTGTAGATAGGACCTGGGGTGGTAGCCTAGTGGCTGGGGTCCTCACCTTGAGCCTGCCAGGATCCCATATAGGCACCAGTTGTAATTCCGGCAGCTCTCTCCCATCCAGCTCCCTGCTTGTGGCCTGGGAAAGCAGTAGAGGACAGCCCAAAGCCTTGGGACCCTGCACCCACGTGGGAGACCTGGAGGACTCCTGGTCTCGGAATAGCTCAGCTCTGGCCATTGCAGCTACTTGGGGAGACTATCATCAGGTGGAAGATCTTCCTCTCCTCCTCTCTGTCTATCTGACTTTGCCATGAAAAATATTTAAAAAAAAATAAAGAAAAGCTTGTGGATGTGTCACTATCTGAGATGTTGATTGGGATTACCAGAAGCACAAGCGACGGGCAGGGCCGCTGGCCATTTGTGTCAGGCTGTGGGGAGGGCGGTTCCGACGGGCTCAGCTCCTGGACCAATCTCATGGTTTGTGAAAGTCAGTGGTGCTGAGAGATTCTCTTAAGTGGCTGCTCTCTGGAACAGTGGTAATGGTGAATAATTTCTGTTGCTAAGGGTTGATGCCATATGCAGAGAATTCTGGGAAGGATCTGCACTGTGACACAGCTTTGAGTAGGTGAGCCTTGAGTAAGGAGCACTGCTTTGAAGGATGGAGTCAGATTGTCTTTTATTTGTTTGAAAGGCAAAGAGAGCTCTCTCAGCCACTGGTTTGCTCTGCATGTGCCTCTAGCAGCTGGTGCTGGCTGGTTCCAGCTGAAGCTGCATGCTCGGCCTGGGTTTCCTATCCAGAAGGCAAGGAACCCAAGAGCTTGAGCCAGTGCCTATTGCTTTCTAGGGTGCACGTTAGCGGGAACCTGGGATCCGGAGTGGAACCGGAATTCCAGCCCTGGCACTCTGATATGGTCTAGAGACATCCCAGGTTAATGTGTTTAACTGCTGCCCCAGTGCCCACTCCTAGCTTTTATTTGCAAGGCAGAAAGAGAAATAGCTCCCGTTTGCTGGTTCACTCCCTAGTGCCCGCCATAGCTGAGGCTGAGAGGAGATCAAGGCTGGGAGTCAGAAACTCAATCCAGATTGTCCCCCCCCATGGATGGCAAGAACCCAAGTACCTGAGGCATCATCCACATTCACAGGACATGGGACTGGAGGCATGGAGTCACCAAGTCTGGGCCCAGGCACAGATGGAGATGCTGGTGTCTGCAGTGCCGCCCTGAGCCCTTGGTTCCTGACTTGGAACCTCGGGGTTCCCCTTGAGGCATGTGGTTGTTCACCTCAGCTTGTTTAGAGACAGCTGTGGCCCACGGGGCCTTCGCAGAGGTCCCTGCTCTTCCTTGGCAGCTCTCAAAGCCTCCAGTTTAAAGGGCCACCCATTGCTGGTGGATTTCAAGGGCTAGGTTGGTAATTGAGGAGGTAGATATGACAAAATGATGTTACAATAGCAGCCCTGTGTGTGCTTCACCTCTGCCTCGGCCCTGGAAGCCCACGGGCCTCACTGAGCACAACAGTAGTGGTCCTGAGGTCTGTGTACCCTCCTCATTGTGCCAGCCTCGTGGGAACCTTGCTGCTGCCCCCCGCCCCCCAACCCCTCCTCCCTGGCTGTGGGAGCCCTGGCTGGTAGGACCCGGAGGGAGGACAGGATTGCAGGACTCGCTCAGCTCCCCTGGGAGACACAGCTAAGACTAGTGGGTTTTCCTGACGGTGGGCGCTCGGAGATTCTTGCTTTAACCCCAACGGGCTCAGGCAGCATTCAAGCCAGAAGGGAATCTAGCAGAGGGAGAGGACGAGACAAGCTCTCCATTCAAGCCACGTTCCCACTTTACCCTCGGGCCCAGCTAGGCAGCACAGCTGTGGCCCGGTGGCCTGGTGAGGGCAGGTTGATGTCCAAGCCTGTGACCTTGGAGGAAGTCTGACGCTACTTTGGGCTGCTTCCATGCAGGTGAGCTGCTGCTACTTTTCCAGCAGGGAGCTGGATCCACACTGGAACAGCTGGAATATGAGCTGACTTTTTTTTGTTAAGATTTATTTATTTTTATTACAAACTCAGATATACAGAGGAGGAGAGACAGGAAAATCTTCCATCCGATGACTCATTCCGAAGTGAGTGCAACGGCCAGTGCTGTGTCAATCCAGAGCCAGGAGCCAGGAACTTCCTCTAGGTGTCCCACACAGGCACAGGATCCCGTGCACAGGACACAGGACAGCTTTGGGCTGTCCTTGACTGCTTTCCCAGGCCACAAGCAGGGAGCTGGATGGGAAGTGGAACTGCTGGGATTAGAACCAGTACCCATATGGGATACTGGCATGTTCAAGGTGAGGACTTTAGCTGCTAGGCCACCACACCAGGCCCTATTTTTAATTTTTATTGGAAAGACAAATATACAGAGAGGAAAATCTTGCATCTGCTGATTCATTCCCCAAGTGGCCACAACAGCTGTTACGATCTGAAGCCAAGAGCCCGGAGCCTCTTCCAGGTCTCCCACGTGGGTGCAGGGTCCCAAGGCTTTGAGCAGTCCTCTACTGCGTTCCCAGGCCACAAGCAGGGAGCTGGATGGGAAGTGGGGTCACTGGGACCAGAACTGGTGCCTGTATGGGATCTTGGTGTGTACAAGGCGAAGACTTTAGGCATTAGGCTACACACTATACCCGTAACTTGAATTTAGAAAGAAAATGTGGATTGTGTGGCTTCCCTGGCCTCCTAGGCTGGCACCCACCCATGCTGGTTTGGGCAGGTGGTTTCAGCTGATGCAGCAGAAGTGATGAACAAATCCTTAGCTCAGTGATCAGTCTGGCTCCCATTAGCTCCACCTATGTCTTTATATATATTTTATACACACACACACACACACACACACATTGATTTATTTATATTGGAAAGGCAGATACACAGAGAGGAGAGACAGATTGGAAGATCTGTCCACTGGTTCACTCCCCAAGTGTCTGCAATCGCTAGAGCTGAGCCAATCTGAAGCCAGGAGCCTGGAATTTCTTCTGGGTCTGCTATGCACGTGCAGGGTCGCAAGGACTCCAACTTGGGGTTTTTAAGCCACAAACAGGGTGCTGGATGGGAAGTAGGGCCACCGTTATTAGAACCGGCACCAATATGGATCCTGGCGTGTTCAGAGCGAGGACTTTAACCGCTACACTAGCATGCCAGGCCTTAAGGTTTTATTTATTATTACTTTTTTATTGGAAAGTCAGATACACAGAGAGGAGGAGAGACAGTGAGGAAGATCCTCCATCCGATGATTCACTCCCCAAGCGGCCGCCAACAGCTGGAGCCGAGCCAATCTGAAGCCAGGAGCCAGGAACTTCCTCCAGGTCTGCCATATGGGTACAGGATCCCAAAGCCTTGGGCCATCTCCGACTGCTTTCCCAGACCACAAGCAGGGAGCTGGATGGGAAGTGGAGCTGCCAGTTAGAACCGGCACCCACATGGGATCCCGGGCTTGCAAGGTGAGGACTTTAACCACTACGCTATTGCACCAGGCCCCCTAAGGTTTAATCTTAAGCTTTATTTATACTTTATATTCCCCAAAGCAATTACACACTAAGAGAGGAGAGAAACTTAATTGCTTTCCCCTTTGACAGTGATTGGGAGCATTCCCTATGTACCTTTCTAGGTGGTTTTTTTTTTTTTTTGGGCAGATGTGGTTATAGCTAAATGGGCTTTCTCACCTTGGCCCAACTGACTGCTTACTCTTCCCTGCCACTTGCATTTCTCTGCAGTTACACAACAGCCAATGCTGAGTCTGACTACGAGCGGGACTCTGACAAGGAGAGTGAGGCTGGGGAAGATGAAGTGAGCTGTGAGACTGTGCAGATGGGCAGAAGGGACTCACTGGACCTCGAGCTGGAGCCGGAGGCGGCGGCTGCTCTGGGCGCTGCTGGTGACTCCTCGGACCTGGGCGACCTGGTGCCACTGCTGCAGCAGGTGGACCAGCTGCACCTGGGCAGCGGCCCCGACAAGCAGGAGGCCTTCCAGCTGCTGCTCAACAACAAGCTAACGGTGAGGCCCTGGCTACTTGCCTTTGCTCCTCCTGCAGGGGCTTGTGGGGAGGGAAACGGGTGTAGGTGGCTAGCTCTGGCACCCAGATTGTCCTTCTCCTGGAAGCCCAGCATGGACCCTGGGGACCTGCTATCCAGAGCTCCGCCTTCTGTAGAGATATTGCAAAAAGACTTTGACCTGTCATAGTGAAGTGGGGGGTGGGGGCAATGGGGGAAAGGACTGGACGTTTCCCTTGAGGCAGAGCTCAAGGTGCCTGCCCCACTGACGTTTCCATCTCAGGTTACATTTGTGTGGGCAGCTGGGCCACAGGTCCCTTCTCAAGTTACTGGCAGAATCTGCACATCTGTGTAACCCCGCCTCCCTGCCTCCTTTTCTTTAAGTGTCACCAAAAGACATTTCCTGCTTTGCCTCATTTATCTTCAAAATGACCTTTCCTCCCGGCAGTGTACGGAGCCAGAATATCCTCCCCATGCAATTATGCAACTGCTTGCTCCATGAAGAATGCGTCATCAGCTAGCTGCCCTTGCGAAGCATGGGTTGAGGGGGCAGGGAAAGCCTGTGGCCAGGGGTGGCGTGACATGCAGGATAGTACATTGGCCACAGTAGGCTGTGCAGTGAAAAGGGTCTCGCCCATCCCGCCCACAGTATGGAAACCGGCAGGATTTTCTGTGGCGCCTGGCTCGGGCCTACAGTGACATGTGTGAGCTCACCGAGGAGGTGAATGAGAAGAAGTCCTATGCCCTGAATGGTGAGTGCCGACAGGTTCCTGGGAAGCAAGGCGACTGGGGGAGAGTACGAGGGGGGTCGCCCTTAGCGCGGTTGGGGCTCAGAACTTGGCTTCCTCCGGTGATGGGCAGCAGGCCGGTCTCATCTCTGTGCCATCGTGACTGAGTAACATGGGGATGTGTGTTTTGGGAGTTGTGTTACATTAACAGCCACAATGAGGGTGCAGAACTGTCTTTTTAGCCCCAGGTGGGTTTTCCTGTTACCTAGGAATCTGGCTTGTTATGGAGGCTGTGGGGCAGGAACTGTAAAGGTAACGAGTGGAGTGAATTTGGTGAGAAATAAACAGGGCTATAAAGAGAGGGAAAGAAACAGTATGGGAATTGTGCTCACTTCGGCAGCGCATATACTAAAATTGGAATGATACAGAGAAAATTAGCATGCCCCCTGTGCAAGGAACAATATGGGAATAAATTACTCCTGGTTTGTCCCTGGGTCGAACTGTTCACCCTGAAGGTAGGGTGCGGGTGCACGTGACCTGTGTCAGGCCTCAGGGCTTGACCTTTCTGGTCACAGGGTAAGAGATTCTGGAACTTATTTTTTTTTTTTAAATGCACTTTTTTTTTCTTAAGATTTATTTTTATTATGTTTTTATTGGAAAGGCGGATATACGGAGAGGAGAGACAGAGAGGAAGATCTTCCGTCCGATGATTCACTCCCCAAGTGAGCACAACGGCCGATTCTATGCCGACCCGAAGCCAGGAGCCTCTTCTGGGTCTCCCACGCGGGTGCAGGGTCCCAAAGCCTTGGGCCGTCCTCTACTGCCCTCCCGGGCCACAAGCAGGGAGCTGGAAGGGAAGCGGGGCTGCCGGGATTAGAACCGGCGCCCATATGGGATCCCGGGCGTGCAAGGCGAGGACCTTAACCACTGCACCACCACGCCGGGCCCGAGATTCTGGAACTTCAAAAAAATTTACAAACATGGATTCATCCACTTGCAAGTGCTGAATTTTTAATAAAATGAATCTGTCAACACTACAACATTCTAAAAACACTTGTAGAATTCAGTTGGAGAGTAAATAGATTTTGAATGCTGCTTGATACAGACCCTCAAACCCCAGGGGCTGGCATCCATTATGTGCACCAGTTTGAGTCCCAGTTGCTCCTCTTCCAGTCCAGCTCCTGTTAATGTCTGTGAAACCAGTGACAGCTGGCTCACATTCTTGGGCCCCTGCACCCTACATGGGAGACCTGGAAGAAGCTCCTGGCCCCAGCTCTGGCTGTTGTGGCCCTTTGAGGAGTGAACTGGTAGATGGGCGATCGGCGATCTCTCTTTATATAGACCTGTTCATTTCTGTGCAAGTTTGTACTTTCTTCCATATGAGGATTCTCGTTAGATCCTGGGCTCTTTGGAATGCATGCAAGCAGGCAGTTTTGGGCTCTCTGGCAGTGTGTGCAGTACTGTGTCTGCCTACCTTGGCACAAACTGGTGGTTTCACCTTGTTATTTTCCAAATGAGACAGTACTCTGAAGGAGATAGAGAAATCCTCTTGAGGGAAGCCCCCTCACTGATGGGCCCTGTGGTCCTCCTGTGGGGAAAGGGGATTCTAAACCTCAGCAGTCCTAAACATGTGCCTGCTGCATAAACAATAAAGCCATGATTTCCACTCAGAGGAGGCGGCGGCGTGGCAGACTAGCCGTACTCCTCAGCACGTCCCATGTATTTCATGTTCCCTTCCTAATAAAATGTACATGCAGCCAGAATTTGAGGGGTCCATGAACATGCTGAAGCCTGGCCACCATCCTCCGAGGTAGTCTGTCCAAGAAGTTCTTTGTGCTGTTGGGTCCTGCACACTTGATGATTAATGGTGTACGTAACGGGCTGCTGATGAGACAAGGGGAGGCCAAAGCAGAAATGATCACTGGGAATGACCCCTTTTCATTGTGCGCAGTTCATGACTGCAGAAGTGGTCACCCTCCCCACAGCCCTTCTGTGGGAGCATGCGCATGCCAACTTTGCACCTGCCTTTATTCTACAGGGAGAGAAGCAGCAGAGGCCGCACTGGAGAAGGGGAATGAGTGTGCCGAGTGTCACCAGTGGTAATGACCCCCGTGGGTTCTGGGCAGAGCCAGGAAGGGCCTGCGGAGGGGAGAGCCCTTTATAGGCCTGGCTGTAAGCATGCCAGAAGAGGGAGCTCTAGCCTTAAGTGTTTCACACTATACTCCACGACCATCACTAAGGACCAGGGAAGTGTCCCTTGCGAGGGGAGGAGGGCAGGACAGGCAGATTACAAGCTTTGTTCCTGCTGGGGCTTGGAGAAATGATTGGGTCATTCTAGCTAAAACCTTGCAGGCTCTTGACTGCTCGGAGTACTGGGCTGTTTGCAGCTCCCCTGTCCCGTGCAAGCATGCCTGTCCTCCAGCCGCGATCCCTGGCTCACGATGAGTCTGGCTTTTTGGCTTGGCTTGCATCAGGCAAAGTGAATGTGAGCTCAGTGGTCATTCTGCCGATGCGGCCTGGGGCTTGCTGCTAGCATCTCAGAGTGTTAGTGAAATATCCCTCTTTCGACTGCTACCCTCTGCTCTTGTGAGCCAACATTTCTCCACCTGTTCTTAAAACTTTAGTCTGCAGGAGTTACTTGTGAAGGCCAGTTAACTCCTCTGGGCTCCCAAGGATGAAAATCAGCTTCATTCTTTATTGTCCTTTTAAAGATTTATTTTTTATTGGCAAGTTATATATACAGAAAGGAAAGAAAGATCTTCCATCCGGTGAGTCACTTCCCAAGTGACTGCAATGGCCAGAGCTGAGCTGATCTGAAGCCAGGAGCTTCCTCCAGGTCTGCCATGTGGGTGCAGGAACCCAAAGCCTTGGGCCGTCCTTGACTGCTTTCCCAGGCCATAAGCAGGGAGCTGGGTGGGAAGCGGGGCTGCCAGGATACAAACTGGCACCCATATGGGGTGTGCAAGGCAAGGACTTTTAGCTGCTAGGCCCTATTATCTCTTCAGAAAGCTGTGATACCGGTACCCCTAGCTAAGCTAGCAAATACATGGAAAGAAAGATAAAGGTTTTTATAAATGAGTTGTTTCGGGTCTGGCGCGATGGCACAGTGGTTAAGGTCCTCGCCTTGCATGCCTGGGATCCCATATGGGCGCCGGTTCTAATCCTGGCGGCCCCACTTCCCATCCAGCTCCCTGCCTGTGGCCTGGGAAAGCAGTCGAGGATGGCCCAAGGATTTGGGACCCTGCACCTGCGTGGGAGACCTGGAAGAGGCTCCTGGCTTTGGACCGGCATAGCATCGGCTGTAGTGCTCACTTGGGGAGTGAATCACCGGACGGAAGATCTTCCTCTCTGTATATCCACCTTTCCAATAAAAATAAAAATAAAAATAAAAATAAATCTTTAAAAAAAATGAGTTGCTCCAACTGTGCTTCTAGGAACAGTGCTGGGGAGATAGGGTAAAGATGGAAGTTGGCTGCTTTGGGAAGGGAGGAAGGATTTCTTCCTCTTCTGTTGGCTCGGTCAGTTTAGTAATTTCTAGAACAGCGGCTTATGCTGAGTACAGCCATCCAAGTCCCAATGACAAACCTGTATGTGCCCAAGGAAGAAGAGACCCTTTTGTTGCCTGCTCAGAAGATAAACAATGCTGACAGCTGATAGAACACTCCTGGGGCTGCATGCACACTGACAAAGGGGAAGTTTTGGGGTGTGGACTGTGACCACCTTGTATTGCTGTGGAAAACTCAGCTTTTCTGAAGCCTACTAATGTGTTTGCTAAGGAAATCAGATGGAGTTGCAGTTGTTGGTGTAACTGGCTGGGGCGGGCTGAGCTGGCTGCTGCTTCCCCTGCAGGTACGCGGTGCTTGCTGGGCAGCTGGCTGAGCATGAGAGCATCCAGCGGCGCGTCCAGAGTGGCTTTAGCTTCAAGGTGAGGACAGCTTCCCCTGGTGCTGGTCTAGGCCAGGCCTCTGCTCTCCTACAAACATGTTTTGCCTCTTCCCTTAGCATCTAATACTTACACTTTTTCCTCAGGAACATGTGGATAAAGCCATTGCTCTGCAGCCGGAAAATCCTATGGCTCACTTCCTTCTGGGCAGGTGGTGCTACCAGGTGAGTTAATTAGAAAGCTGGGCTCAGCACTGACCACCTTCCCAGAGTGAGCAGGGTTTCTGGGCCTTGTCTGCCTCAGTTGCCATTTGCTTTTCCTATTGTTTTTGGTACAGAATATTAAGGGGTGTTAAGGTTACTTCTTGTTTACATGTTGGTCTGTTGGTGGTAGGTCTCTCACCTAAGCTGGCTAGAAAAAAAAACTGCTGCAGCTTTGTTTGAAAATCCGCCCAGTGCCACGGTGCAGGAGGCCCTCCACTGCTTCCTAAAGGTACCTGGGAGGGGAATGTGGCAGCCCTGACGGCCAGAGTAAACCTTATTTTTCTAAGGATATTATACTGGGACTCTTGTGTTTGCCTACACTATGAGAAACCTGGAAATCTCCAGAGAACATAAAAGCATAGATGCCCAGACACTCAATCACCTTGAAATGGGGAAACTCCCTGAAATGCTTTCCTCCCTATTCCAGGTTGAAGAATTACAGCCAGGATTTTCCAAAGCAGGAAGGGTATATATTTCCAAGGTAAAGTCACCTGTCCCCTTCACCAGGGAAGAATGTATTATTCTGGGGACACACTCAGGCGCTTCTAGTCCCTTAACACTCTCCCTGTCTCCTCAGTGCTGCCGAGAACTAGGGAAAAACTCTGAAGCTAGACGGTGGATGAAACTGGCCCTGGAGCTGCCAGATGTCACCAAGGAGGTAGGACTTCTGAAATGCTGGGTTCCTTCAGAAGCCTGTCACAACTTCAACGCTGTCCTGGGACAACACTGGTTCAGACTGCGGATCTCAATTGCTTTCTTTGTCTCCCTAGGATTCAGCTTTCCAGAAGGACCTGGAAGAACTAGAAGTAATTTTAGGAGAGTAATCACACTTCAAGGGCCTTATGGCTTAAGGGAAAACAAGAAAATCAAGGCCTTTTGCCCTCAGACCCAGCTGAGATCAGGGAACCCACTGACACAGGATTAAGGTGGGTCTTGACTGCTGAGTGCAACCCACTGCCATTCCCCAGTTTGTTAAAATCTGTCTAATCAGACACTGGGGGAGTACCTGTGGCCTCGTTTCTGTTCTCTCCCTTAAGTGAATTCTTGAAAAATCAAGTTAGTTGGGGCCCTTCGAAGACTGCTTGAGCTTTTCCAGTTGCTGGTGAGATGGATGAGCTAATGGAACAAAGCACAGAAGGCATCGCCACTCTAATCTTTTTTGCTGATGAATACTTAACACCTAAGACCATACCCTACTCACCAGGGCAAACAATGTCAGGAGCAGGCCTGAGACAGTGTTCTCAGCGCATGCGTTCTACCTGTATTCCTCAGCTGAGGGGCTGCAGTTCCAAAGTCTTAGCAGTTTTTGGATTATGAAGTTGGCAAAGAGTTTGATACTGTGAAATGATGACTTAAAGAGTTACCTAGAATATATTTTGGTACAAATTTAAATATAATGATTTTTAATCAAGTTTATGTTGTTTCATTTACCTCCTTCTATGGTTCATTGCAGACAGGCAGAAAATTTTAGTAGATTTAAGACATAGGCACGGCTTCTCCACCCCTCACATTCGTTCCCAGGGCCAACAGTAAAAATGACCAAAGAAAGTGTGTTACTAAGAACTAGCCTTTCACGCCGACTTTGTCACACCACCTGGAGTATTTTATGGAACAAAACCAGAAAGATCCGAGACATACTCAAGTTTTGGCTGAGAGCTGGACTGGAAGTCCTAACCAATAAAGGCAATAAAACTGGACAGAAGGAAACTGTATTCTGTGACCCTCATTTGACTAGTTAACAAGGCAACTTTTTACTTCAGTCCCCACTGTCTTAATGCTTACCTCTGATGCAGAATAATACAGGCAACTACTAGACTTTCATAACAGAACTTTATGGAATAAAAACAGACCATGGCATATCTTACACATCTGAACATAGCCCTTCCTTTCAGTATTCAAATCTGGAAGGAGCAGAAACCAGTCACCTCGTCCCAGTGCCAGAGAATTACTATGGAATGTTCAGCTTGCACAGAGTAACTCCTGTAGACAGCAGTTCACTACAAACTATTGTTAGCAGCTTCACACTGAATCTGCTTGCTTAGCCTCTCAAATACTCGAGACTCCAGAATTGAGTTAGTCTTAGCAGTGAAAGAACCAAGCAAGTAAAGGGCTGACAGCAGGTCTCATCCAAATCCCTTAACAGAAAACCAATTTTTATGTCCCAGTTTAGGCATGAAATTAAAGGTGTACTTCTGATTGGGAGAGTTTGCCTGAAAGAAAAAATCTGTGAGGGGACTCAACTCCTTTACTACGGAGTTCAAGCATTTTGCTTTACCATCTCTCAGAAGGGAGCAGTCAGGTCTCCCAGTTTCAATTCATAGAGACCTACTGTTGTCCAACAGATGACTGTTAGACCCGAGCTGATTTCAAGACACTGCCACAGGTAGTTCATACCTCTCCTCCAGAGCAATTGCAGAAATTAATTTAGTACATAAGGAACAAACATTACAAATCAGTGTGTGAATACTGACCTGCCTCCTGTTTATACCATCAGAAAAGTTAACACAGTGGGTGTTTTGGAAGCCTTTCCCAGGCAGTCACAACAGGTAGAGGCCTTTGAAGAACCCCAGGGAGCTGGCGCTGGCAGAGCACATAAGGTTTAGCGCAGGAAAAACCAGTGTTCAGTCCTTGGCATCTCCCACTCCATCCGCGTTGATGGCAAACATGGCCTCAGCTTCAGGGAGACAGGGGGAGTCGTAGATTTTGCAGATCCTGGTCTCCCCTCTTCCTTTCCTCAGGTACAGTCTGAAACAGACCAAGACACCCAAGTAAGTTACTAATTCCATCCCCAACAGCACAAGAGAATCCACATCTGTTAGATGTACAGACTTTATAGCAGGACTGAAGGCAGAGGCTCTCTTTAGTACATTCTAATCTGGAAGAATCCATTTTCTGCTCTGTCCTCAGTGGATTTTTACTGAAATGTTCAGCAGGGAAAAGTCTACCAATTATTCATATTCTTTTCCTACAGTTAAAGGTTTTAAAATTTTTTAATGAACCAAAACTAAACACATGCACTTACAAGAACACAACGAGATTTTGCAAGAATTCCAAAATGTCCAATTAGAGTTGTTGCTTTGCCAGGGCTTACACAGAAATGCTAACATGACAATCCAAGGAGCAGCACTACCCCATTTGCCTCACCTGGTAGTGGATGCGTGGGCTATGATATTTCCCCCAATAGGCTTCTTAGGATCAGCAGCAAACATGGCTGCTCCGTCCACTTGAGCTACCACCTGGTTGGTGATTACCACTGCTACACCAAACTGACGGGGAAAGATCAACATTATTTTTATACACACAGACATTCCAAGAGCCCTCAAGCAGCCACCAGTTTCCCCCACAAAGAATGACTAGTGTATCCATTCTAACAGCTTGATGCTATTAGACACAACTTTCCTGACATTCCAGAAGCTGGGAGCACTGCAGGTAGGCATTCCCTCTGACTGTGCCTGTAGCTTACCTCATCAGCGAGTCTCAGAAGCATCCGCAGAAACCTGGCCAAGTGCATCTGCCTGGCTGAGAGCTCACCTCGACCCGAGTAGTCTGTTCTGTAGAGGGCAGTGGCACTGTCTACAATAAGCAGTGCATACCTAGAAGGAACAAGGATTGTCTGTAGCCCTGTCCTGCAATCTCACATGGACTTCTATGTAGATACCTTACTAAAATATTCCTGCCGAATTCAAATCTGAGGCACTGTGTAACACTGTGGCTTTTTCTTTAAAAAGTTTAATTGGTTTGGGTTGGCAATATAGTGTATCATGCTAATGCCAGCATGCCATATGAGCAGAGATTCAAGTCCCGGCGGCTCCATTTCTGATCCAGCTCCCTGCTACTGCACTAAGAAAGCAGTGGAAGATGGCCCAAGTATTTGGGCTCCTACACCCACATGGGAAACAAAGTTTCAGGCTCCGTGGCTGTTATAGTCACTTGGGGAGTAAACCAGCAGATGAAAGATTGTCTTATAAGTAAATGAAAAAAGTAAAATATATATGTTTTAATTGCCTTTGTTCTAGAATCAAGTAGTAGATTGGACTCAGAACAATATTGAATCCTCCTGATATTATTTATTTTATCTATTTGGAAGGTAGAGTTAGAAAATCTTCTAGCTGGTGGCTCACTCCCCAAACAAATGTACCTCCTAAAGCCAAGCCAGGGCTAAGGTAAGAGCTTCATCCAGGACTCCACCCTGGGTGGCAGGGGACCACGGACTTGGACCATCTTCCACTGCTTTCCCAGGCATAATAACAGGGAGCTGGATCATAAATGGAGCAGCCGGGATTCAATGCTGGCGTGGAGGCACCAGCATACTTTGCTTACACATAATACAAGTACCTATTTATTTTTAAAGATTTATCTACTTATTTGAAAGGCAATGACACCTACATTGGCCCTAAGTATTTAAGCTATCCTCCACTGCTTTCCCAGACGCGGAGGCAGGGAGTTGCAAGTAGAGTAGCTAGGCCTTGAACTGTCATTCTAATAGGGAACGCTGGAGTCCTAGGCTGCAGTTTCATCTGTTGCATCATTAACAGATCTGTGGCTTTACTTTTAATATTTAACTTAAACCACAAATTATGGGTAGGCAAAGTAAGAACTATAACTCATAAGCTGCTAGTAATTTGGCCAGTCTGTATGAGATCAGGGTAAGGTCTCTGGGAACATCTTTGGTGTTTCCTAGAGCACAAACCTGGACTCTGCCATCATGGCTGATGCTTGATAAAGGAGCTGCGTCTGGTGGTCTGTGTTGAACCCTCGTGCATATGCCACATTATCTAGAACATCACTGCCAGACAGGCCATACCTAGAAGAGACGAGAGAACACTTTTATGCTATACATCGAACTCGGATGAGGAATTCCTCTCTAGCCCACGTCAATGACTGGGATGCTGAAGGAGGCAGGGGAAAGGACAGAGGTTTCAGGGCCACAGAATCTGACTTCTGGTGTCTCGGGAAGTTTAGGGAACTACGCAGAGAAAGGTAACAGTGGCAACTGCTTTGGAGTAGACCTACCTGACAAGATTTCAGGACATAAATCACATCTGTCCTTTTTAGGAGTCCTAAGCTAGAATCAAAATGTCCCTAATAAGGATACAATATATGACTGGAAAATCCCAAGAAAACAATGACTGAAATCAAACATAAACAAAAAACAATCACTCAGTTTAGTAAATCAAGGAATAAAATCTATAAAAACATCAAGCAGTAATAAATCAAGAAAGTAAACATCCTTTGCTAGCTTTCCTTGTTACTTGAGTGGTACGATTATATGGAATGTGCGATTAAATGACACCAGAATGAAATTCATCTTATGCCTCAATCTGCTACCATTGCATTTAAAATAGACAAATCAGAGCCCAGCATGTTAGCCTAGTGGCTTAAGTCCTCATCTTGCATGCACTGGGTTACCAAATGCCCACCAGTTTGTATCCTGGCTGCTCCACTTCTCATCCAGATCCCTGCTTACAGTTTGGGAAAGCAGCAGAGGATGGCCCAAAGCCTTGGGACCCTGCAGCTGTGTAGGAGACCCACAAGAAGCTCCTGGTTTTGGATAGGCTCAGCTCTGGCCATTGAGGTAACCTGGGGAGCGAAACAGTGGATGGTGTGTCTTCCTATCTGTCCCTCTGACATTCCAATAAAATTCATTTATTTTAAAGACTTTAAAATTTTTATTTTACTTTAAAGATTCATTTATTTTTTTATTACAAAGTCAGATATACAGACAGGAGGACCGAGAGGAAGATCTTCTCTCCAATGGTTTACTCCCCAAGCGACCGTAACGGCTGGATCTGAGCCAATCCGAAGCCAGGAGCCAGGAACTTCCTGCAGATCTCCCACGTGGGTGCAGGGTCCCAAGGCTTTGGGCTGTGCTTGACTGCTTTCCCAGGCCACAAGCAGGGAGCTGGAAAGGAAGTGGATCAGCCAGGATACAAACTGGTGCCCATTGGGTAACCCAGTGCATGCATCACCTTGGGGAGTGAATCAGCAGACAGAAGATCTTCCTCTATCTTTCCTCTTCCCTGTTTATCTGACTTTCCAATAAAAATAAATAAATCTTTAAAAAAAAGATTTATTTATATTTATTGCAAAGGCAGATATACAGAGAGGAGAGACAGAGAGGAAGAACTTATGTCCGATGATTCACTCCTCAAGTGAGCGCAACGGCTGGCGCCGTGCCGACCCAAAGCCAGGAGCCAGGAACTTCTTACAGGTCTCCCAGGCAGGTACAGGGTCCCAAAGCTGTAGGCCGTCCTCGACTGCTTTCCCAGGCTACAAGCAGAGAGCTGGATGGGAAGTGGAGCTGCTGGGATTAGAACCGGTGCCTATATGGGATCCCGGTGTGTTCAGGGAAAGGACTTTAGCCACTAGGCCATCCCCGCTGGGCCCTAAATAAATCTTAAAAACAAAAAGTTTGTGCCTCTCAAACAGATGTGTGTCTCCCTCTTCTGTACTGCCAAACACCACTGGACCTTCCTAGGGTGCTTGTGAAGAACTGCTTTGAAGGGACGGTGCATCTCCTTTGGCCTCTGGATCCACGTGGGAGACCCAGAAAAAGCGCCTGGCTCCTGGCTCTGGATCAGCTCAGCTGTGGCCATTGCACTCATTTAGGGAATGAGCCAGTGGATAGAAGACCTTTTCCTATTTTCTTTCTTTGTAAAATCTGCCTTTGGAAAAAAAAAAATCAGTAAGTCTTTAAAAAACAAAACAAAACAAAACAAAAAAACAACCAAAACTTTGAAATCTGAACTACTTTTACTCATTACAAATACTTCAGGAAAAACAATGAGCCTTTCTACCTGCCTAGTATATATAACTAGTAAATTCTGAATAAATGTTGCCGACTACAGCTTTTTCCTACCAAGAGGAATGTATCCTCTCTAATGTAAGTAATGTTTGCACGCTAATGTTACCTAAAGGGGTTGCCTGCAACACAGCATCCTATTTTGGTGCTGGTTGAAATCCTAGCTTTTCAATCTTGGTTGAATTCCCCGATACAGACCTGGGGAAAAAAAAACACTTGATGATAGTGCAAGTCCTTGAACCCTGGCACCCGCATGGGAGATTGGGAAGAAGCTCCTGGCTTCAGATTGGCTCAGCACTGGTCATTGCAGCACCTTGGGGAGTGAACCAGCAGACAGACTTTCTCATTCTTTGTCTCTCTTCTCTGTAACTCTGCCTTTCAGATAAAGGCAAAATAAAACACAAAACTTTGCTGTCTAAAGATTTTCTTGTATAACTTTAGCTTCTCACATTTCTAAAAAATGCAGTGAAATATACAAAGGTATTTCAAAAAGTTCGAACCAAATGGAATAAAAATTTCCTGTGAACTTATTTTTTTAAAGATTCTTTTTATTTGAAAGGTAAATTTGATAGAGAAGGAGAGCGAGAGGTCATCCAGCTACTCACACCCCAGATGGCCACAACAGTCAGAGCTCAGCTGACCCAAAGCCAGCAGCTCCATACCAGCCTCCCATGTGGGTGAGGGGTCTGAGGCTTTGGGCTTTTCTCCACTACTCCCCCAGGCTAGAAGTAGAGCTGAATCACAAGTGGAGCAGCTGGGCCTTGGATTGGCAGCAATATGTGATGCCGGCACGGTAGGTGAAGGACCAGCTTACAGTGCCACTGCACCAGCCCTGTGTGTGTTTTCTGAAGGCCCCTCATGTAACTCTGCGATGTGGAGTAACAGAGGAGACATGCGTTAGGAGAGTAACCCAGGGAATTGCTAGAGTGACAACATACTGTCGCATCATTTAATAACCTACCTCTCCGCCACGGCTAGCAGCCGCTCTGGCCTAAAGGTACCTTCGGTATCAATGTACATGGCCTTTCCTTCACCTCCGCCTCGGTCAATGGGAAGCTAGAGAACAAAAAGAAGAGTGGAAATGAACACTGTATTTCTGATATAGCTGACCAAGTTCTTTTGAAGCGAAGTTCTTCCATCTTTAATATGATTAAGGGGGAAAAATTAAACTAAAAAAAATTGTTAGGAGCTATTCCCTTCTGACAGAAATACAGCTAGAGGCAAATGCAAAGCTCTTCTTGTCTCACAGAACACAAAGCCAGTTACTGTCTTGTCAGATTGTTAGAAATATTGTCCAAAGTATGTGATAGTGTTCTGTAACTGTGTCAATATAAGACTGAAGAAGACGAACAGTTGAAGAGTCACTTATCTTGGCTTGAATCGAGAAGAGCTGTGCTGTGGTGCAGTAGGCTAAGCCTTGACCTGTGGTGTCAGCTTCCTATGTGGGCACTAGTTTGAGTCCCAGCTGCTCTGCTTCTGATCCAGCTCCCTGCTAATGGCCTTGAAAGCAGCAGCGAATGGCCCCAAACCTTGAACCCCTGAACCCTTGTGGGAGACCTGGAAGAAGCTTCCGAGTCCAGGAGCCAGGAACCTCCTCCAGGTCTTCCGTGAGGGTGCAGGGTTCCAAGACTTCAGACCATCCTCTTCTGCTTTCCCAGGCCACAAGCAGGGAGCTGAAGGGGAAGGTGGAGCAGCTGGGACATGAACTGGCAATCATGTGGGATCCTAGAGTGTGCAAGGAGAGGATTTAGCCACAGATCCATTGCACCAGTCTCTCAAAAAAAATTATTTTTAGGGTCTGGCTTTTAGGGTCTGGCACAACAGCATAGCAGCTAAAGTCCTTGCCTTGAACAAGTTGGGACCTCATACGGACGGTGGTTCTAATCCCGTCGGCTCCACTTCCCATCCAGCTCCCTGCTTGTGGCCTGGGAAAGCAGTCGAGGACAGCCCAAAGCCTTGGGACCCTGCACCTGCATGGCAGACCCAGAGGAGGCTCCTGGCTCCTGGCTCTGAGTTGGCTCAGCTCCAGCTGTTGCAGCTGCTTGGGGAGTGAACCATGGATAGAAGATCTTCCTCTCTGTGTATCTGACTTTCCAATAAAAATAAATAAATCTTTAAAAAAAAATTATTCTTTTTAAAGCAAAAGTGGAACTTAATGTAAATTGTCTATGAATTTTAAAATTGCTCTAGCAGACTGAATAAACGTAAACCTTTGTATTCTCACAGTGTCCCTAGTGTCCACTCTGCAGTGCCCATTCCTCTTAGTTTGATTTAACCTATTAGAACTCCTGACATATAGTGGGAATTTTACTTTATTAACTTTATAAGATCTGCACAATGAGAGCAGATACTTAGGGCTAAGGAGCAACCGGTTGCTCCAGCTTAGAATGGTAAAAAAACAAGGCCTTAAATTTTTAATGAATTAAAAATTCTTTTCCCAGGAAAAAAATCAAATACCTATTATTCAGTCACCTGCAAACTACTTATTTTTTTAATAGAATGATTGTGTTTAATCACTTATTGGCTTTTGCGCTAAGATCAAGTATAGAAAGGTTATGTTTATCTGAGGAGAACTGTTTTTAAAGTTTATTGCTGAAAGGCACTAACTACTTAATACACATTCCCAGGCTAGGGAATGTTCTGTGTGTGTAGCTTTAGAGTCAGTGATTTGCATGGTTGCCATGTCAACGATGGATGGTGAGTACTACACTCTAAATATTTATTCCACTCAAATCCCTGTCAAAACAACACGGCAAAAATGTTTTTATTCAAAAAGATGACACTTCCTGCTAAATGACCCGTGTCGGATTCCTATTTGGAACAACCTATTTTCCTTTAGTCATCGCATTGCCCATGGTGCCCGGTAAGAGCTACGGCTTATCTCTACCTCAATGCCTCCTCCCTTATTGTCCCCAAAGTTCCCTTGCGCTTCTTTTCCCCTGGTCCCAACCCCAGCCCGCCACACACTTTCTTCAAATTTTTTTTTTTTAAATGAGGAAACAGTAATTGTTTAGGACTACTTGATAATGAAATCCTAATTTGGCTGTATCATTACCCATTATGGTATCATTTTAGTCTACCAAAAAAAAAGGGAGGGGTTGCAGCATGATGGTGTAGGATGATGTGAACCCTCTGCCCACAATGCTGCATTCCTTATAAGCACCAGTTCATATCCTGCTGGTCCGCTTCGGATCCAGCTGTGTAATTATGCTTAGCTCTGGTTACTGGGGCCATCTGGGGAGTGAACCAAAGGATGGAACACCTCTCCCTGAGTCTCTCCTCTCTCTGTAAATCAGCCTTTTAAATAAAAATAAATCTTAAAAAAAAAATCAAGAGATCAAATGAAAAAATAAAAGATAAAAATAAAACCAAGAGATAGAGGCCAGCATTGTGGCACAGGCGCTCTGCCGACATCCCACTTGGGTTCCACTTCCAATCTAGTTCCTGGTGCCTGGAAAGCAGCAGAGCATGGCTCTGTGTTCGGGCCCCTGCACTACCATGGGAGACCTGGCTTCAGCCTGGCTCATTCGGGGAAAGAATCAGCAGATGGAAGATATCTCCTCCTCTTTGAAATAAATCAAATATACACATACATATATATTTAATTAACAATAATAAAATGTAAAATAAAAGGAGAAACTTTCATTCATAAAAGACCCAGGTTAAATCCTTGGCTTCAGAAGTACACCACCAGATTACACTGATAGAAAAGGCCTGTGAAAGGAAAAGGGATTAATTCCTTCATTACAACCTAAGGTAAGAGTACGTAGGGCCTGGCAGCATGGCCTAGAAGCTAAAGTCCTCACCTTGAATGCCCGGGATCCCATATGGGCGCAAGTTCTAATCCTGGCAGCTTCACTTCCCATCCAGCTCCCTGTTTGTGGCCTGGGAAAGCAGTCGAGGACGGCCCAAAGCCTTGGGACCCTGCACCCGTGTGGGAGACCCGGAAGAAGTTTCTGGATCCTGGCTTAGCATCAGCATAGCATTGGCCGTTGCGCTCACTTGGGGAGTGAATCATCGGAGGGAAGATCTTCCTCTCTGACTCTCCTCCTCCTCTCTGTGTATCTGACTTTCCAATAAATAAACAAATCTTAAAAAGGTTCAATGCAGGTGGAATTTATATATATCTGATGTGAGAAGAAGCTTAGGTCACTGGCTGATAACTGAAAAGTAGCATGAAGGTTTGAGGAGGAAGAATAAAATATGAGACCGTTCTGAGGTTGTACTGAATGTTAATCTAAAGTCTTATCTTGAATTTAAGGTGAAGTTAGTCATTTTGGTTAGATTTTTGGGTGTGGGCACTAAAGAAAGAGTTTACCTCAGGTTGGCATCTCTCCAAGAAGGTATGTGAATTGTGGTATCTTCAATCCCTTACAAAATATTTTTTGCAGCTTTTATCTTATTTATTTGAAAGGCAGAGTTACAAAAAAAAAAAGGGAGGGGGGGACACACACAGATCTTCCATTGGCTGGTTTATTCCCCAAATGGCTGTAAAGGCCAGAGCTGAGCCAGGCTAAAGCCAGTAGCTTCTTCTAGGACTGCCATGTGGGTCAGGGGCTCTAGCAGTTCAGCTCTCTCTGCAGTTTTCCCAGGTACATTGCCAAGAAGCTGGATATGAAGTGGAACAGAGGAGACTTTGCTAGTACCCATATGGGATGCTGGGCTTAACTCACTGTGCCACAGCGCAGGCCTTGGAATTGACTTTCATGATGAGTCAAAACCTAGACTAAAGAAGAAAGCAGTTAAAGGCCAGAGATTTCCATTATATGGTAAGGCATATTTGAAGTCAATGATTTTGAAGGTTCTATGATGTGGAAGAATTCTACAGCAGGGATCTACTAATAATTTCATGTACATCCTAACAGGGTTACAAACAAAAATCAGTTCCAGGTGGTTTGCTTAGTCAGGGCCCCCAGCAGCTCACCTGGCATGTAACAGCCAGCGTGTGACAAATCTGGGTCTTCCCAGTTCGAAATTCTCCAAACATCTCAGTGATGGATCCAGTCTCAATCCCACCTAAAGCAGCAGTAAGAAAAAAATCTCATAATGCAACACAAATAACGTAGAAACTGAAATAATAGCAATGTTCGTAGAATTTATCAGCAAGATGCATATAAAATTCAGAAGTCCATTTTCTAACAAGCAATAATTTTCTAAAATCTTATTTTGAAATAATTACAATGTATAGAAAGCTGCAGAAAAATGTATAGGACAATTCCCTTTGCACATTCCTCATCTAATTTCCCCCATATTAACATCTTGCCTGACTACAGTAGAGCAGTGAACTTGAACACTGAAATTGGCATTTCTCTAGTTAAACAAGCACTCATTTGATAAATGCATATAGTTCTATGCCATTATATCGCATTTGTGGCTTCATATAACTAGCACTACAACCAAGGTATAGAACTGCACTGCTATAGTTTGAATAGGATTTTGACCTTCCACTCCTACTGATACTGAAACTCCAAAGCCGTAAGTGGAAGTCGTAGGTCACGGGGGTGGGTGGGTGGGAATTGTTCCCTGGGAAGGTAACAGGCCTGTGCTACGGCGGCTGAGATGCTTGCTGACTGCATCCTGAATCCGAGTGCCTGCGTCAGGTCCCAGCTTGGATTCTTGCTTACGAGCACCTTGCAAGGGAGCAGGTGATAAGTCAAGTACTTGGGTCCCCACTACCCATGTGAGAGAGCCAAAATTCCCGTTCCAGATGTTTACCTTTGGCTGGGCCCAGACCTGCCTGCAGAGTGAAGCAGCAGATGAAAGAAGCCTGTCTCTCTCTTTCTTTTTAAAGATGTATTTATTTTTTTATTGCAAAGTCAGATATATATAGAGAGGAGGAGAGACAGGAAAATCTTCCATCTGATGATTCACTCCCCAAGTGAACGCAATGGCTGGAGCTGAGCCAATCCAAAGCCAGGAGCCTCTTCTGGGTCTCTCGTGCAGATGCAGGGTCCCAAGGCTTTGGACCATCCTCGACTGCTTTCCCAGGCCACAAGCAGGGAGCTGGATGGGAAGCGGGGCCGCTAGGATTAGAACCGGCGCCCATATGAGATCCTGGTACATTCAAAGTGAAGACTTAAGCCACTAGGCCACCGCGCCAAACCCTTCTCTCTCTTTCTTATAAAGGAGCCCAAGGGCCCGGTCACCTACTCTTCTTCTGATTCCTCATATGATTCTTCCATGTACGCTTCACTGTTGCCAGCTGCTGCCCTCAAGATGACAAACCAATAAATCCATTTCATCTTTAGATTGAACCGCCAAAAACTGGGGTGAATTTTTTTGTCTTTATTATACAGTTGCGTACCGCAGGTACTTTGCAGTAGTATTGAAAAACTAAGAGCATCACAAGGTCATTAAGCAGCCATTGAAAACTGTTACAAATAACTTAAAAATACTAAGTGGTCAAAGGAGGAACAAAAGGAGGGTTAACAGTATTTTTAAAAGACTTACAGGGATGGGCATCAGAAGAGCCACAGTTGTTTCACTTCTCCTCCAGCTCCCTGCCAATGTGCCAGGGAAAGTAGCAGAAAATGGCCCGTGCACCCACATGAGACTCGAAGCCCCAGATCCTGGCTTCAGCCTGCTCAATCCCGGCTGCTGTGGCCATTTGGAGAATGAAGCAGAGGAAGAAAGATTTTTCTCTTTACTCTGCCTCACCCTGTCACTGTCTGAAATAAATCTTCTAAAAAAGAGACTTTATTTAACTTATCTGAATAGCAGAGTGACGGAGAGGGACAGACAGACAAGCAGATTTCCGGCCACTACCTCTCTTCCCAAATGTCAAAACAGTTAGGGTGGGCCAGGCTGAAGCCAGGAGTCTGGAATCCATTTGGATTTCCCATATGGGAGGCAAGGATCCAAGCAGTTGGGCCACTCTTTCCCATCGTTCTAGGCACACTGACATGGAGCTGGGCTGGATGTGCAATAGCTGGGACTTAAACCAGCACTAGGATGTAGGATGCTGGCAACACAGGCAGTAATTTAACCTGCGTTGCCACACTGTCAGCCTCTAACACTCAAAACTGATTCTTCAGCCCATACTGTTTTATACCCTGAAGGTGGAGAAAATGTGAATGCATCAGGAACCAAAACTAACTTTGTAACAATTAGGTCAGTAATGCTTTCAAAATTTCAAAAACTATACTTTTCTTCAGAGTCCTAAAAATTATTATGTAACACACAATAGTATTCAGACAGAATACTGTAATTCACTCATAGTTTTAACCTTACAGTACTTATTTCCTTAGGTAGAGGAAACTTACTCTGAATACAACATTATACAGAGATTAAACATAAGTGGATTTCGTAAGCAAGTGCCACCGGCAGTAACCTTACTGACTTCATCCTGGATACTTCGTTCCCTTTTACTCCTGTCTGTCCTGAATCTCTTACCCAAATCTGTTAGTTTGGGTCTGTGACCTACGCACTTTTATCGCTGACATTCACAATGCACGGTCAGGAATTCACATACCTTGAAGCAGTTTGTCCAGCTCTTTGGAGCCAGTGGTAATCTGTATAATCTCTGATCGTCTCTGGTGGAATTCAGTTGCAGTAGTGAAACCCATTGGAACTAATTTAGCTGCCTCAGCCTGAGAAAAATAAAAATGTTATGTCAACAAAACACAGGTTTGGTTTTCCTCATGTGAGATGCGTAGGATGAGCAGTGTTTCAGATTTTGGAATATCTGCAGACGTCACTGGTTGAGCATCCCTAATCCAAAACCTGAAAGGTTCCACAATTCAAAACTTTTTTAATTAAAGAATTATTTATTTTTATTACAAAGTCAGATATACAGAGAGGAGGAGAGACAGAGAGGAAGATCTTTCGTCCGATGATTCACTCCCCAAGTGAGCGCAACGGCCGATGCTATGCCTATCCAAAGCCAGGAACCAGGTACCTCTTCCGGGTCTCCCACACAGGGGGGCAGGGTCCCAAAGTCTTTGGGCCATTCTCAACTGCTTTTCCAGGCCACAAGCAGGGAGATGGATGAGAAGTGGAGCTGCTGGGATCAGAACCGGTGCCCATATGAGATCCCGGCGCATTCAAGGCGAGGACTTTAGCCACTAGGCTACAGCACCGGGCCCCACAATTCAAACTTTTTAATGTCTCATTAACATTCAGGAAGGTACAGAGTATTTTGGTTTTGGGTTTTCTTTTAGGGATAGTCAATCTTTATTAATAAAACAAGAACGAGAGGAAGACAACCTGTAACAAAATTTCCAGAATGATTTTTCTTTCCCAAGTCATCATAGGTGGGTTGGCTTTGTGGTGTTAGCAGGCTAAGCCAAGGCCTACAGCCCAGCATCCCACACGGACGCCGGTTTGAGTCCAATTGCTCGACTTCTTATCCAAGTCCCTTGGAAAACGAAAGTACTGCTGCCAGCCACATGGGAACCAGCATGGTGTCAAGGCTTCTTGTTTTCACAAAGCCTAGGCCATTGTAGCCAATTGGGGAGTGAACCAACAGAGGGAAGAACTTTCTCTCTAACTATACCTATCAAACTTTTTTTTTTTTTTTGAATGGCAGATTTAAACAGAGAAGGAGAGTCGGGGATCTTCCATTTGCTGGTTCACTCCTCAAATGGGTGTAATGGCTAGAGCTTGATCTGGAGCCAGGAACCAGGAGCCTCCTCCAGGTCTCCCATGCAGGGCCCAGACTTGAGCCTTCCTCCACCACCTTCCACGACCACAAGCAGGGAGTAGGATCAGAGGTGGATCAGTCAGGACTAGAACTAGTGGCATATGGGACAATGACGTAACCTGAGGACTAGCCTACTGAGCCACAACTGGCTTAACTGGCCTTAAACTTTTTAGTTATTACAAGGGACCAGAAGGAATGCTATGTTAAGCCCTCAAACGTGAGTCCATTGCCACCACCCAACATTTTCCTGTGGTCCTTACTGGATCCAGTAAGGCCAAAAAAGAATTATAGCCAAAGAAACACTGTTCCACAAACAAATGGACAGGTTCGACAGCTGTTACTTTGTTTTATCATAGGGAACACTTCAGATTAAGAAATGTTTTGAAATTGAACAAGTTGTTTTAAAAATCTGGAGATAAATACATAATGTTTCAAATAAACAAAGAAACCATAAGTAACAAAGTTTGATAGGGCAACATGAAGATACTAAAACATTTTTTTTGCCCTAAAGAAAAAGGAAGCCTAAGTGTGGTGCTATGGCATAGTAAGCTAAGCCTCGGCAGGCAGTGCTAGCAATGCCAGTTTGTGCCCCAGCTGCTCCACTTCTGATCCAGTACCCTGCTGATGGTGTATGAAAGCATGGGAGAGGGCCCAGCACGATAGCCTAGTGGCTAAAGTCCTCGCCTTGAATGCGCCAGTTCTAATCTCAGCAGCCCCACTTCCTATCCAGCTCCCTGCTTATGGCCTGGGAAAGCAGTCAAGGATGGCACAAAGCCTTGGGATCCTGCACCCGCGTGGGAGACCTGGAAGAAGCTCCTTGCTCCTGGCTTCGGATTGGCTCAGCTCCAGCCATTGCATTCACTTGGGAAGTGAATCATCAGATGGAGAATCTTACTCTCCGTCTCTCCTCCAGTCTGTATATCTGCCTTCCCAATAAAAATAAATAAATCTTTAATTAAAAAAAAAAAAACCAGGGGAGGATGGCTGAAGTCCTCAGGCCCCTGGAAGACACTCCTTGCTCCATACTTCAGAGTGGCTCAGCTCCAGCTGTTGCAGCTATGTAAGGGGTAAATTACCGAAAGATTTATTTGCCTGTCCTCTCTCTAAAATCTGCCTTTCATAAATATCTCTTTAACAACAACAACAGGGCCCGGAGCGGTGGCGCAAGTGGTTAAGTCCTCGCCTAGCACGCCCGGGATCCCATATGGGCGCCGGTTCTAATCCCGGCAGCCCCGCTTCCCTTCCAGCTCCCTGCCTGTGGCCTGGGAAAGCAGTCGAGGATGGCCCAAACCTTTGGGAACCTGCACCCGTGTGGGAGACCCGGAAGAGGCTCCTGGCTTCGGATCGGCATAGTATCGGCCCGTTGCGCTCACTTGGGGAGTGAATCATCGGACGGAAGATCTTCCTCTCTGTCTCTCCTCTCTGTATATCCGCCTTTCCAATGAAAAAATAATAAAAAATAAATCTTTAAAAAAAACAACAACAACAACAACAAAAAAAGAAACTTACTGATTTGAAAAGTTCCCTTGGGTATTGAGAAAATTACTTTTGAAAGGAAACATCCCAAATCCCAGTGTATCACACGAAAATATAAGTTTATAATTATTTCCTGCTAAAAATAAGTAAACTGTATAACTACATACCTACCAAAGGACTAAGTGCATAAAATAAAAAGTAACCTTGAGAATAATGGGTGCTAAATAAACAAATCAGGGCCTCTACACCTACTTGCATCTCATTACGGTGCTGGTTTGAATCCCAGCTGTTCCATCTGCAATTCAGTTCCCTGCTAATTGGGAATACAGTACCCATAAGGGATGCCAGTACTCTAGGCTTAAGGGAACCCTACTACATGATGGTGCTGTTTCCAAAGTAAATAAATCTTAGAAACAAGAACAACAACAAAAATAAAACAAAAATCCCAGGCCTGGCGCAGTAGCCTAATGGCTTCAGTTCTCGGCTTGCACGCATAGGGATTTCATATAGGTGCCTGCTCATACCCCGAATACCCCACTTCCCATCCAGCTCCCTGCTTGTGGCCTGGAAAGCAGTCGAGGACGGCCCAAAGCCGTGGGGTCCTGCACCCGTGTGGGAGACCTGGAAGAGGCTTCAGATTGGTGCAGCTCTGACTACTGCAACCACTTGTTGAGTGAATCAATGGACAGAAGATCTTCCGCTCTGTCTTTCCTTCTCTCTGTATATCTGACTTTCCAATAAAAAACAAATCTTTAAAAAAATATATACCGGGCCCGGCGCGGTGGCGCAAGTGGTTAAGGTCCTCGCCTAGCACGCCCGGGATCCCATATGGGCGCCGGTTCTAATCCCGGCAGCCCCGCTTCCCATCCAGCTCTCTGCCTGTGGCCTGGGAAAGCAGTCGAGGATGGCCCAAAGCTTTGGGAACCTGCACCCGCATGGGAGACCCGGAAGAGGCTCCTGGCTTTGGATCGGCATAGTATTGGCCATTGCGCTCACTTGGGGAGTGAAACATCGGATGGAAGATCTTCCTCTCTGTCTCTCCTCTCTGTATATCTGCCTTTCCAATGAAAAAATAATAAAAATAAATCTTTAAAAAAAAATAAAAAAAATAAAAATAAAAAAATAAAAAAATATATACCATGGGAGTTCTGTGACAGGCACTGGGTCTCTGAACATTCAATGTGGCTGATATTAAATACTGAGAGAACCCAGATTGCCCAAGGTATCCCGCAGCAGGATTCTGGCAGTGTAGGTTACAGCTGTGATCACACCCTCCCTTTTGTCAATAAACAAGGAGCTCTACCATGCACCCCAGCCTCCCACCTCCCTGTTGACACTGGCCGCAGTAGCACAGCACCTGGCCACACCCTGAACACACACCAAGCCACAGAGCCATAGTTTAAAAGCAAAAACGTTCAGAGAAGGCAACAGATGCCCAAACTAAAAACAAAAATGTAAGAAACAACAAGGAAAACATTACAACTCCCAAAAAGGTACACAATTTGAGTTTTAGAATGTGAAAATGCCTTAAAATAATGGAAAATATTGATCATAGGATTAACAAAAAGAACAGAAACAAATCTTTAAGATATAAAGATTAAATTATGGATGAAACTTGCAAAGGGATTGTTATTCTGATGAGCTAAAGCAGAAATACTAGAAATGAAGAATTCAAAATGCCAAACAGAAAACACAGTGGAAGCTCAACAACGTGCTTGAGGAAGTAGAAGACATACCTGAGCCAGAGGGCAAGCCCTGGCATTATCTCAACCTGACATAAAACAGTAAGAAAAAACTAGAAAAACTCAAAATACAATTCAAGAAATATGGGACATTATCAAGTAACCAAACATCTGCTTCTTAGGAGTTCTTGAAGGTATGGGAAGAGCAAATTCATCAGAAGGTTTATTCAGTGAAATGACAGAAAAAATGCAGAGAAAGAACAGGGATATCCCAGGACATCACATGACCAGAAACAACCTTCACCACAACACAAACTTTCCCCAGATTCTAAAATGTACAAGAGAGAAACGCCAGGTGTTCCTCAGATGATTCCCAGTTAGTTAACAGCTGATTCCTCAGCAGAATTCCTCCAGGCCAGGAGGGAATGGAGAGAGTCCAGGTCATAGAGAAAGGAACTGTTCGTTTCTGGCTGAACATTGCATTCAGCAAAGCTCTCATTTAAACATGTAAATGAAATAAATGACTTCCTAAACAAACAGAAGTTGAAAGAATGTGCTGCTACCCACTCAGCCTTATAAAAGATGCTGAAGGATGTGTTATGCACAGGAACAGAGAATAATCAACATAGCAACAGAACGTGAAGGTAGAGTATTCTAGTACATGTACAAAGGAGGGCCCTGCACAAAGGCTTAATTGGCTAATCCTCTCCTTGCAAGCACCAGGATCCCATACGGGTGCTACTTTGTATCCCAGCTGCTCCATCTCCCATCCAGCCCCTTGCTTGTGGCC